ATTTTCCCAGTAGATATTCCTATGGGACGTACCACCCCATTTCGAATAACATCATCTATCCAATCTAAATTAAAATTAAATCTTCCATTCGCTCCCCGATATAAAAAATCGGGGAGCGAATGGAAGATCTAATTTTAATTATATTGATCTCAGGCTAGCGTAAAATTATTGAAATCGAATTTTAAAAAAAGACAGATTCCCAAATACTCAACCATCGGTCATCCAAGTATATTTTTTCAAACCTACTATATATCATCGTCGAGTGCTTACACAGGCCTCGTGTGGCACAGTAATTCTAGTGTTCGTTTTGGAGTCACGACGTAATTCAGGAGCTTATTCTAAGTCACATGCAGGTCCCGACGTGGGACGTGGAGACTGCAGGTCAGTCGAATGAGACCGTAAAAAACTTAGTCCATGCAGTGTCGCAGTATACATGTAGATGTTGGCAAGAAAAAGATCCCTTACTGATGCTTTATGATCAATGGCCATAAGTGCCGAGAAAAAGTCTATAAATTAGGAGCCCTACACCAGGCAGATGTTCAATGAAATATATGGAGATAACGAACAGTATTAAAACTCAAAAGTCCAATGTTGTCGACCCAACAATTTTTAAAGGTATTTTAAAGAAAGAAACAAACTATTTTCAAGGGCCTAACTAAAGAAAAATATACTGGACGTCTTAGGAAGCCGTGCCATAAGCCAATTTTAAAGAATTCAACACTATTTGGAAAAAGTGTACCTGTATAAACAATATTTAATTCAACCAAACCAATTAAAATTTCATATATCTAATGTTATAGTCACGAAGTTTACCCAAGAAGACACCACATCTGAATTATATTTATCAAGATGAAATGATTAGAAAAACTCCTCTGGTCCTATATATATAGTAAAAATAGAATGATACATGAAGTGTTTATTACATCGAAACGAATGAAATGCAGTGAAATGTATTGATGTGCATACACAAGGTGGGCCCCTCATCTGCTCATGAGGCAGGCTTTGCCATGCTTACTACGTACATTAATTTTAGAGGACACGTTTGTAACACTCCTTAGTCATGGTATATTTAATTCACGAAGTGTTTCAAGAGTGTAGGATTCTAATAAGTTGAAGATATATATGTATAAGATTGCTATATCGCCGTTGTTTTATAACACCTCTGTGACGACATGTTGTAGGCGCTAAATGAGAGTAAAACAAAAGCCGGCGTTCTGATAAAAAAAAAAACGGATTTTGATGAAATTGTATTTTTAAAAAGTTGATAAACAATTAAAAAAAAATGTTTGAATAATCTTATTAAAAAAAACTTTTCAGTCGGCACGATTCAAGTGGGTCGGTCGCGTTAGGGGAAACAAAGGTATTTTTTATTTTGGCCTTAATATTTTAATTTTGATTAGTTTGATAAAACCGATTCACGTGTATTTCACAGAGAGAGAGAGAGAGATGCCCGTGTGTAGAAGTTCCAAGTTGCACTTGGAATTTCCAAGTAAATCACTTGGAATTCTTCATTTGGAATTTCCAAATCACCATTCGGAGTATTGGAACAAACTTCCAAATGGTTCCAAATGACTTCCAAGTTACTTCCAAGTTGTTTCCAAATAATTAAAATACAGAATTTTCTAGAAATTTCCAAATGACTTCCAAATGGATTCCGAATTACTCAATCAAATGTGATCAACAAATCAAAGCAAGATTTCATTGGCTAATTATATTTAAACATTTTGTTTAGATAACAAACAACCAGCGATTTGATAATATATATCACACAAAACACTTTTCTTTTGGCATCATTTAATGTTTAATATTCATTGCATTTGAAAAAGACAAACCTTCCTGGTTAAAGATTATCCTGTAAAACTGTTTTTGATTTGATTAAAATATTCACTGATAATTTTGGGAAATCTAAATCCAAGTCACAATTAATGAATAGCGGTGATTTGGGTATTTCCTTGGTTCATGAATTTACGGATGTAATAAAGGTCGAACACGTTGTATTATCATCAGATACAAGCACTGACACGTATCGAAATGACGAGTATTTCCCAAAAATATTGACACTTTCCACAGTTTCAGCAATGATGATCAATCTGAGAGTAACGGTTTAACTGTTATCCAAGAGAAGTGTGACATAAAATGGAGATACCAATGAAGGAGTCATGAATTCAAAAGATGTAAATTATCTCCATTGAATTACATATACTTCATAGAAGACCAATCCTCCTTTAATGTGATCATGATGCAACACTATTTATGATTGAACCGCCTGATTTCAAAAAAATATTTTATTGGCACAAACACAATTACAGTAATTGGTAAAGGCCCATACAGAACATATTAATAAGTATAATAATACAGTAGAACACAACTAGAATACAAACAATTGGTGTAGCAAATAATGTAGTGTACTCATCAGATACTAAATGATTCATAACAATGTAGTTAGCTCATTTATAGCTAAAACATTTTTTCTAATATCAGATATTTGACATAAAAATGAAGATAATATTTTAAGAACCCTTTTAGACCTGGTTTTCATCAATGATTTTAATAAATTGTCATTATTATGGATTGTTTGGTTGAAATTAGGGAAAGTAGATAATTTTGTTTTGAATATTTTTCTCTGCGCTTCATATTTCGGACAGAGCAAAATGAAATGTTTTTCATCCTCAATATCAAGGTTTTGACAAACTTTACACAACCTATCATTTTTATTAATTTCAACATATCTACCTTTTTCAATTTCTAAATTATGTGCACTTAACCTAATTTTTGCTAAAAATGATCTATCATGCAGTGACTCTAGTTTATCAACATAATGTGCACGTTTATTATTAAAACAGAAGTTTCGATAGAATGATAGTTTTGAGGAGTTCATAATACTTGCATTTTGTTCTTGTAATATTTGATCATGAATACGTTGCTTAACAATGCTAAGCACTGGTTTCAATGACATATTAAAATTTGTTAAATAAGAAAACCCTAAGTTATTAAGACAAGTCCTTAAACACATAGATCATGTGTTATTTTCTTTAGTTTTGATAAAAATATCATGTGCCAATGTATGTTCAAATGAAATTAAATGATCAAGGTATTTGATAGCAAACATAATAATTTTTGATCTGACTGGGAGTCTCCCGAGTTCAGAATAGCAAACATTATTTGAAGTTTTGCAATGACCGACTCAATACCCCAAACTTCGCTTCCGTATAGCAAAATGGGAATTACCATGGTATCAAACAATTTTTCAAGTAATCGACAGGAATTATGTATTCCAAGGGTTTTCTTTATCTTGAATAAAGCTTTTCTGGCTTTATCTACTAACTGAGCTGCAGCAAGGTTAAATTTGCCATTACATTTAAGATTTATACCAAGATAGCAATATTTGTCAACAGTTTCAATACAGATACAATTAATAGTAAAATGGTTTTAAAAAGTTTTACCATTAGAATTAAATACTATAATTTTTGATTTGGACGTGTTAATCTGTAGCTTCCAATTAACACAATAATTTTCAAGAATATTCAGACTACATTGTAGATTATCAGGACTACTTGACAACAAAACTAAGTCATCTGCATATAATAAGCAATGTATTTTTGTATCCTTTACTAATATTGGATCAGAGTTAATACTGTTCAATTCATCAACAATTTTGTTTATGAAAATGTTAAAAAGCAAGGGACTTAGTACATCACCTTGTTTGACACCTCTTTCAGATATAAATGGTCCACTTAACCCCTCATTAAACTTTATTTTGTTCATGGTGTTCGCATACATAGAATAGATCACATTGAAAATTTTCTTTGGAACACCATTTGTTAGAAGTATGTAAAATAATCCTATTCTCCAAATCGTATCAAATGCTTTTTTCAGATCAATGAATGCTGCATTAACTTTTTTCTTTTTGAGTTTGTAGTGGTCAATTATTGATTTTATAGAAAATATATGGTCAGCTGTTCTGCTGTGTTCCATAATGCCAGTTTGATTTTTGCTAATCTGATTATTATCTAGAGTAAATTTGATTAATCTCAAATGTATGATCTTATTGAATACTTTCCCCAAGTTTGAGCTTATTGATAATCCTCTATAGTTGTTTGGATCAGATTTACTACCTGTCTTATGCAGTGGGACGATAAATGTTTCATTCCATATTTTAGGAAACTCCCCCTTTTCAAATACAAAATTAAAAAGTTTAGTAAGTGACTCGAGCAAAGTATGTGTACTATTTTTTATCATTTCATTTGAAATTAAATCAATAGCTGGGGATTTACCATTCTTCAGGGATTTAATGGCTTTTTGTATTTCGCTAGATGTGATTGCACTATTCAGTACATTTGTGTCAAAAAATGACTCTTGTTTTTTCTTTAGCTCTTCAAATTTTTCAATAATTTCCCTTTGAAATGTATTAAAATTTGAATTATCTAAAGATAATTTTTTAAAATGATCCTTAAACTTATCATGGGGTAATACATCATCAATTGGGCACTTTGATGAACGATCAAGTTTGTTAATTTCCAAAATGATTTAGGATTGGAATCAAGGGATTTTTCTAGTTCATTACAAATCTTTTTTTTTTTTGCATTGTTTCTCCTCGTATATATACAGGTATTCATAGGGTTAAAACAAGTTTTCACAGACAAGCAAGTGTGGTCATTGGGAAATTTCGTCGATTTTAGAAAGAAGTCACATGTGGATAATCGCGATGTTTTTTTTAGACATTGAATATTTGTTATACATATTTATTTATCAAAATGTTCGCGTAATTTTTTGTCATAAATATATCAATATACGGACCAATATTTTTAAAATGTCAAAGTAAGTAATCTCTATGAAACAACAAATCATGCTGACTCATAACAGCATAATGTGTAAATAAAATTATTTGACTACAATCCGGACTTATCACCGATACATAATAAGATTGTATGCATATCATCAATGTAGTTTGTACGCTTTGTTCATTTAATTGTCATCTGATCTTCCGTAAAACTTTTTTGCGATCTTGATTATTATGATGATGTCGATAGTAAATAGTGGTGTGACACAGACGTAAAAATATATTTTGTGTCAATTGTATGTCGTTTTCTTAAATTTCAGAATGGCTGATAACGAAGCGAAGGGACGAGAATTAATGCAAGAGGCAGAAAAGAAGCTTTCATCCTCAAAAGGATTCTTCAGTTCACTATTTGGGTAAATATTGTTTATTTTCATCAGAAGTGGACTTCGTCCAAAAGTTGACACTTCAAAATGTGTCAGTAAGATTTTTATTTAATTCAAGTACTACTCGATAGATGGAAGAACTGCATTTTTACTCTTGCAGGAGCTCCTCAAAAGTGGAAGATGCAGCTGACTTGTTTGTTAGAGCGGCTAACATGTTTAAAATGGCCAAAAAGTGGGCAGGTATGTGTACTGGGATATTAACAGGTCCAGCATAATCTCTTGATTTAGCTATATAGCTTGAATTACTTATATCCCTTGATTTAGCTATTCGAAATAGCTTGGTTTAGCCATAGGGACTTGAGACAATCTTAGCAAAATCGGGTATATAGTATAATAGGGGATTATACTATATACATACTATTATACTATATACCCGATTTTGCTAAGATTGTCTCAAGTCCCTGTGGGTTTAGCTATCTTACCATACTTTTTTTCTTAAAAGTGCAATTTTTTCAGCATGTAAAAAAAAAAACGCACATAGGTGCAGTGAAAGTTTTAAACTTTTGAACGCTTCTGAAAACGCTACATTAAAAAAATCACTCATCAAATTACATCTCCTTGAGATACTTCGTACTCAGAGTTCTAAAAGTTTTGGGGCTATATAAAGCAATTGATTTGTGACCACACAGTTACTTCTTGAATGAAATTAAGAAGGTCTGGTGTGGTCAACAGGATAATTGATTGGTAATAATTCAGCACAATGTGAAGTAATCATACTCTCTTGAGGTGTGTACAGTTACTAAAACAATGAAATATATTTTGCTTAAAAAGTGTTCAAAAGCAGCATTATCCTGCCTCTGATAAAAATCTTGAAATTTCATTGGTCGAGAAGAATACTGTATTAAACCGTATTATGCTGCCTACCCACATCATATTGTTAATGTGTCCCCTCCATGTGACCTACCCACCACACATCAAATCAATATGCCCCCTCCACGTGCCATACGATATTCAGTATATTGTTTTCATTTGAACACACAAGGAGCCTAATAACTGATGTCACATAAGCATCAAATGACATCACAATGTAGACAATTGTTACGGAACGATTAGCTAACTCAGAGAAAATGAATCTCATTAAAAAAATCTTTGACAGGATAAATTCGTTATGTAGACACTTAGAGGGGTAATACGGAGATGTATGGGGTCTTTGAAAAAATACCTTATCATATTGGTTCAACTGATTTCAGTCCTTATTTAAAAGTTTAATTCAAATTACCATTGTGTTAATTAATACAAGATTAGTTTACTATTCAAAATGATTTGAAATGTTTACTTAAAAAAAACTTGCATATCAGTTAATTTCTATATTATTTTAAAGTTCTGGAAATGTATTTAGATTTTATTTTTGTGGCTTGACAGTAGGTACCTTATTTTTACAGCTGCTGGTGAAGCATTCTGTCGAGCAGCTGAGCTACAGGTGCAGTTAGGTAGCAAACACCAGGCAGCCACTGAATACGTTAATGCTGGCACCTGTTATAAAAAAGCTGATCCCAATGGTATGGATAAAAGCAGCTTAATTTTGAGGCACACTTTTCATAAATATAAACCTATGAAAAAGCGTAAATCCATTATTGCCCTTTTTAATAGTAAATGAATTTATCTTTTTTTAAATAATTTGTTGTAATGTACGTGATGTGTTCCTTTTCTTTTCAGAGGCAATCAACTGTTTACTAAAGGCCGTAGAAATTTACACTGATATGGTACTTGGCTATTAATATATTTTGACCTGATATCTTGACAGCGGAAAAAAATGTGTTGTAAACTGCACTCAATTTTAAAATAATCAACTTGAATGGCAGAAATGAATATCTATCAATGTCTTTAATGTATGGGATAAAGTTATATATCGATTTTAAACAGGGTAGATTTACCATAGCAGCTAAACACCATGTCTCCATTGCTGAAATCTATGAAACAGATATGGTGGACATAGAGAAGGTTAGTTACAACTTTAACATATCTTAAAAGCAACATTTTAAAGTATTTCAAGTTTTAATTTGTTATGTTATAGTTACACTATAGATATTAATTGGTTAGCGGTAAATACACTCACAGTTTTTCATTCACGAGGGGCGGAGCCCCGAGTGAATAAAAACTGTGAGTGTATTTACCGCTAACCAATTAATATCTATTGTGTAAGTTACTTGTACCAGAGGACCAATGAGAGAAAAGCAAGTTGATAATTAGCACCGCCTACTACGAGGTGTCAAGCCACGGTCCGTATATATAAGCTGTCTCCATCTGCAAGGATCATATTTAGCTGCGTCACTGCTACCTAATTTGTTGATGAAAGATTCGGAATTGGTACCTGTGAAGATATTGTACCTTTGGAATGTTGAAGACGCAGAAAACATGATCTTTGTCAGAAACAGGTACAGGGGTAGCGATTGTAGGCTTTTATATTCAAGTCGTGAAGTCTGAAAGAAAATTTATCTTTCTAGATCGTTTTTTTTTTTAAAAGGGGGGGGGGGGGTATGGGAAACATCGCCATTGAACTTTTTCTATATGGCAGTCAGTGCACAGAAAAAAATGAAATGATTTTTGACATTTTAATGAAAGTTTGAAATGGTATTGGAAGTAAAAAAAAAAAAAAAACGTGGGGACTTCTGATGTGAAATTGCTATTTGTATTTGGAGACGGGAAAGAGATTGATGAGAACTCGAGATAGGACGTATCATTTACTGATTAAGGATACGCGGAGAAAACATACAGAAACATTTATGAAGCTAACATCGACAAGCTAATGTTAGCATTTTTGAAATTAAAAATGTTGACTTAATTCATTCATCGATCAGCCAGGTCTGGAAATTGACATCATTCATTCATCAGTCAAGGTCTTGTCACAGTATGGCTTGATGCCAAAAGGTGGGCGTGACTTGAAAAAACTGTGATTCTTCTGGCAAATACACCACAGCAACATCAAAGCAAAATCTAAATTTGCCGCCAGTCCTATGGTACAAATATATATACATGTACATGATAATGGATAATTAGGTATACTCTGTTATATACATAATACATGTATATGGTTAAGCAGACATACAATGATTTTGTTTCCTCCCAGGCAATAACAAGCTATGAACATGCTGCAGATTATTATAAAGGGGAAGAATCTAACAGGTATGTCACTTCTTGTGTTAGAAGTCTCTGTCCAGACCCTTAATGCCAGCTGAATTGTAAGGTCTCAACGATTTTGTTTAATATGTCTAATTTTCTTTTGACAGTTCTGCAAACAAATGTCTTGTTAAAGTTGCCCAGTATGCAGCGCAGCTTGAACAGTATGAGAAGGCAATATCTATCTATGAAGAAGTAAGTTACAGTACTGTAGACACCAAAATTTTCCTGACACCCTAATTTTGCAAGATTAGTTGGTATTTATAAGCAAGACAAAATTTTAAAGAATTTTGGTTATTGTATTTAATCTTTAATTATACAAGTATATGCAAGAATGAAATTTTTGTGAGCTGACAGTCTCAAATAATTACACAAAAATAAAGTTCTCGCCTGTGAGTAGTGATTTTAATACAGTACAGTTGAACTTTGGTATCTCGAACACTATGGATATGTCAAAGTGATTTGGAAGCCCCAACCACTTATTCTTTAAGTAGTTTTCCCTCAATATCTCGAATCATCAGATATCTCGAAATTTTATTGCAGTCCCTTGAAGTTTGAGATAATGAGATTTGACTGTATATGTTAGTGGTCTAGCATTTAAATTATGCACTCCAAGTCTCTTCTAAAATAGTAGTCATGAAATAGTTGCATTGTAATTAATTTTAAACTACACATCTTAGCAATGTAGTTGCAATTTAAGAATTGATAAATTTGATTTGTAGATTGGTGTGTCATGCATGGATAACCAGCTTCTGAAGTACAGTGCCAAGGACCACTTTTTTAAGGCAGCTCTTTGTCAGTTGTGTGTGGACACACTGAATGCTGAGCAAGCCATTCAGAAATATGAAGAAATGTTTCCACAGTTTGGGGATGCCAGAGAATGCAAGCTTCTCAAGGTAGGATGTTCAAAATAAACACAATAAATAAATACAATATGTGTGTTTATTTAAGGATAGTAGGATTTGTAAGCATCTCAAAGAAGAATGTTTTCTGTGTCTTTTATGGAATTGCCACAGAATGCAAGCTTCCCAAGGTATGATGTTCACAATATTAAGTGCCTCATTTATGGGAATATGATAATGCAAGCTTCTCAGGGCAGAGTGTTGTGTTGAAAGTACAAAGTGTCTGTTCACTAATAGTGCAGAGTAAATAAGGAAATAATGATCATCTAACTTCTTCCTTTACATATTTTTTTTTCTCATTCTGAATGTATACATAACAAGGAAACAGGAAATAAATATATTTTATTTGTCTTTGATGATTTTTTTTTAATAGACTTTGATCAGTGCAATAAATGAAGAGGATATTGATAAATTTACTGACACAGTCAAAGATTACGATAGTATATCCCGTTTGGACCAATGGACAACAACCATGCTGCTTAGAGTCAAGAAGAATATCAGTGGGGAGGATCTTAGATGATTTCCCCCCTATTTTACCCTCCCACAAGATCACATTTAGTGTTTCTCTTTGATGGATGTAATTTTGATATTATACCTTTGAAGGATTTTTCTTACTACTGTTATATGCTATGTGTCAAAAGCAATGTTGTGGACATTTTCCTTTGAATTTTGAGCAAAAATGTACAATCCATTTGTTTATGACAATAATATGCAACATTCTCATTACCTCTAATACATTGTTCAGCTGTTAACGTGTGTTGGATCATCTTGAATGTGATATGGCATACGGCATTGTCATGTTATTCAAAACAAAAGTAGAAATGTGAAAAACATTTTAACTGATATATTACATGTTGTTGTTTTTCCAAAACATCAGTTGTCAATTGATAGACAATTTAGTAATTGTTTTTAGATTTACCAGTAGATGTACATGTAGATTTGCTGTTGATGCCTCATAGTTTTCTATAGACACAAAAGATAGCTTTGTGCATTCACTGCAAACTTAACCTAATTAAATGAACTTAAATGAACTTCATATGGCATTTACAGTGTATGGCAAAAGCATTACCTAGAAAAGAAGAGAAAAACTCTCATTTTATGTTTTAAAAATTATTACATAAAAGTGAAATCTTCTTACAGGCATATATATTCAGCTGCACTGGATTACCTGAATATCAGTTATGGAGTATGAAATGTTGTTACAAAATTGTTGACAAAATTTTATTACTGGAATCCCGTATTTAAAGTATGGTATATGAAGTTATTAAGTGCTGTATGTCTTCAATTGTCTTGATAACCATAATAAGTTTCTAATGTATAAAAATGATCAGTGGTTTGTTAAATATTTTATACATGTAACAGATGTAAGTTGTTATTATGCATTTCAAAATGTACAATATACTTGTCCGTCAATTTGTGAATAAGCTTGAATTGATAATAAAGTTAAAAAGCACCAAGTTTTAAACTCTGTTATAGTCAAACAAAGTCATGACTTTTGTGAAATAATGTCAAAATGATTTGGAAAAATGATAAAACATGGACCACCCTGGTAAGAAAAATTGGGTACCACTCTAAGTCCCAGTTTCAATCAGAATGCTTTTTAGCTCTTCTGAGCCAAAGGCTCATAGAGCTAATGCTATGGACATTTGTGCGGTGTGCGTTAACTTTTTAGAATATGGGCCATAACTCAAGAACCCCTTGGTCAATTATTGTCAAATTTTTCACAGGGTATCCTTGGCCCAAGGGCTCCCTTTTGTACTAAAACTAGGGTTGTGACCCTTAAACAAGGGGAGATAATTAGGAAAATGGAAACAAAAGTACTGGTTGCTAAAAAATCTTCTTCTCAAGAACCACTGGGCAGATTATCACCGAACTTACACAAAAGGATGAGGATATGTTGTAGATTAAAATTTGCTCTGGGATTTAGCCTGGGGCAAAGGGCATGGTCTCAAGGTCACTTCAAAGTTGACCAAAAATTACATTTTATTAAAATGTTGATATTTTGCTTACTATAAGGACTAGGTTCATCAAATCTTGTCAGTTTTGCAGCCATTCTTTTTCAAAATGATTTAGAGGCATATTTTGAACAATTTAAGGCCCATGATCATCCAACTTTGTCAGTTGATGTATCTTGGGTCCTCAAAGTACGTCAACTAAAAAGTAGGTCACCTTGACCTACTTTTTGAACTTTATGGCTAATCTTTTTCAAAAACAATTAAGGTCATTAATTCGAATACCGAGTGGTTTAGAATCATTAAATCTTGTAAGATGATGCATCTTGGGGCCATAAAACACATTTATTAAAAAGTAGGTAAAAAAAAGTAGTGACCTACTTTTTGAACTTTGCAGGCATTCAATTTCAAAGCATTTTAGAGGCATAATTTGGACATTTTAAGGCCTATGATCATAAAACTTTGTAAGTTGATGCAGCTTGGGTCCTCAAAAAAGGTCAACTGAAAAGTAGGTCACTGTGCCCTACTTTTCAATTTATATGACTATAATTAAATATTTCAGGTACTAATTGGCTTAGAATCAAAAAACTTTGTCAGTTGATGCATCTTAGGTCTTCGGAGTAGGTCGACTGAAAAGTAGGTCACTGTGACCTACTTTTGAAAATTTATGGCTTTAATTAAATATTTCAGGTACTAATTGGCTTAGAATCATCAAACTTTGTCAGTTGATGCATCTTGGGTCCTTGGAGTACGACAACTGAAAAGTAGGTCACGGTGACCTACTTTTGAAAATTTATGGCTTTAATTAAATATTTTCGGGTACTAATTTGGCTTAGAATCGTCAAAATTTGTCAGTTGATGCATCTTGGGTCCTCGGAGTAGGTTGACTGAAAAGTAGGTCACCGTGACCTACTTTTGAAAATTTACGGCTTTAATTAAATATTTTGGGTACTAACTGGCTTAGAATCATCAAACTTTGTCAGTTGATGTATCTTGGGTCCTCGGAGTACAACAACTGAAAAGTAGGTCACTTTGACCTACTTATAAAATTTTATGGTTATAATTTTAAAAAATATTTTAGGTATTAATTGGCTTAGAATCATCACTTAGGTGATGGGTCCTCAGGGAATGACAAGTGATAAGTAGGTCACCATGACCAACTCTCAGGTACTAATTGGCTTAGAATCATCTTGGGTTCTCAGAGTGTGAATTGGAATTTCAAGGGTTTATCTAAATATACAGGATACTTATAGGCTTCAAATATAAGTGATAGGTTGTACAGTTTATCAGAAAAGCGATTCAAGGCCCTTGGGCCTCTTGTTAATGCATGCTAGAAAATTGACCAGTCAGCAAGGGCCCTACAGAGGGATGGAAATCTAAAGATGAGAATTTGACTTAAGAAAAAATTTATATGGAAATTTAAAAAAAAAAAATATGTAGAAAGTAAAACAGCAACTGTATTTATAAAATGTTAGAGATACTTCCTAAATGACAAATGAGATTATCCAACCACCTGACAGAAATTAATAGTATCCTTGTATTTATACAAGTCAGTAAAAAACATCATATCATGTAATAATTCAATTCAATGTATATTTAAACCAGAATGAAGCATGCACTTCATAAAATGATAGCCTTTTGTGAATGCAAACATCACCCAGGCATGACCTTAACTTTAAAACAAGTATCATTTGCAAATGGAGGCATTAATTAATCTTAATGTGACAGATAAAAGATTAAGTACTGGATTTTCTACAGCAGGCAAGATAAATGATCCCGGGGATTAATTGATCTACTGTTTTATCATTTTATTCTAAGTTTACAACCTTATATTCTAAGTTTACAAAAAGAACATTTTCAGCTATGACAAAATGAGACTAAAGTTACCATACTGTAAAAATTAATATGTTCCTTGAATTTACACAAACCATCAATTAAAAAAAACTGATATTTTTAACTCCTTTTTTTTTGTTAAATTCTCCAAATTATATTTTAATAAAATGTGTATTTTAACCTGAATAAATATGGACATCATAAAAATTCACTCTTCTGTGATGCAAACATAATCCAATGTTGACCTTAACTTCAAAATAATCATCAGTTGCAGACAGAGGTGTTAATTAATCTGGATGAGACAGATACAGATCAGGCTCTGGATTTTCTACAGCATACAAGTTAATTAATCACAGGGGACTCGTTGCAGCTTTCATGGTTTACAAGAGGAACATTTTCAACAGTTATCTTTCTTTGCCCATTCATCTTATATTAAGTTAGGAAACTATCCCACCACCCCAGCTCCAAACCAAATGACAAATAGAATCAAACTTAGTACCAAAATAAGTATAAGTACTGCATGCTCAACCAACATACCAAATTTTAACTTAAAAAGGACAACCAAAAAAAGTTACTAGAAAAAAGAAGAAAATCTGCAGATGGAAGAATGACAGATGGACAGACACACAGTGATTACTATAGGACTCAACTTAATCCTTATGGGCCCAAATTTTATTGTTCTTGAGAAAAAAGGATTTATATTAAAAAGTATGTTAAAATTTTGGACCTCCACAGCTTTTATTCATTATACTCAGACCATTGATTCCTAATGTGGACAAAGCATACACAATACAAAGAACTAGAGATATGTCCATAAGTCATGAATGCCCCGCCAAGGGTATATTAGTAATGCTACATTTTAACACAAATTGAGAAAAGTGAGGTCAAGGTCAAAGGAAAGGTCAAGGTCAAAAATTGTTGATGCAGTTGAAAAGGTTACATCAGTATGTATTAGCATATGAAGTTTGATAAAAATATTATGAATGGTTTCTTAAAAACTGAGCTAAACATTAATTTAGGAAAAGTGAAGTCAAGGTCAAAGGAAAGGTCAAGGTCAAAAAATGTTGATGCAGTTGATTAGCTCTCATCCGTATGTATCAGCATATGAAGTTTGATAACACTATCTTGAATAGTATCTTTAAAACTGAGCTAAAAACTTATTTAAGAAAAGTGAGGTCAAGGTCAAAAGAAAGGTCAAGGTAAAAAATATTGATGCAGCTCTCATCAGTATGTATCAGCATATGAATTTCGATAAAAATATCTTGAATGGTTTCATTAAAACTGAGCTAAACACTTAAAAAAAAGTGAGGTCAAGGTCAAAAAATGTTGATGCAGTTGAATAGCTTACATCAGTATGTATCAACATATGAAGTTTGATTACACTACCTTGAATGGTATCTTTAAAACTGAGCTAAACACAAATTTAAGAAAAGTGAGATCAAGGTCAAAAGAAAGGTCAAGGTCAAAAAATGTTGATGCAGTTGAATAGCTTACATCAGTATGTATCAACGTATGAAGTTTCATTACACTATCTGTATCCTTAAAACTGAGCTAAACACTAATTTAAGAAAAGTGAGGTCAAAGTCAAAGGAAAGGTCAAGGTCAAAAAATGTTGATGCAGTTGAATAGCTTACATCAGTATGTATCAACATATGAAGTTTGATTACACTATCTTGAATGGTATCTTTAAAACTGAGCTAAACACTAATTTAAGAAAAGTGAGGTCAAAGTCAAAGGAAAGGTCAAGGTCAAAAAATGTTGAAGCAATTGCATAGCTCTCATCAATAATTATTAGCATATGAAGTTTGATAAAAATATCTTGGATAGTTTCTTTGAAACTGAGCTTTGAACAGAGCTAAACCCAAAGTGTGACGGAAGGACAGACGGAAGGACGGAAGACAGACATGACAAACACTATATGCCACGGCCATATTCATGGCGGGGCATAATAATAAAAATAACAAAAACCAGTCTACCCAGTATATTTTTAATGCAACATTAAACCTTAATCTTATAAATAATAAGTCCTGTGTACAGCAATGCATCTTTCATTTCACTTCTAAGAAATGGTATGTATGCCTTTAACACTTTTCATACTTAACATTGAAATTAGAAATGGCCATTCACTCTTTTTCAGATCTTGTTTCTACATATCATCATTAGGTAAAATTTGTCAGAAACAAACAGCGCCCAGCTTCATTTGTGTTACGATGACTCTATTGGATTACTTCTTATTGGGAACATTCTATCATAATCACAAAAAATATATACTTTTCTACAGAGTCTTCAAGATTAAAAAAAAAATATGTACAGGTATTATTTTCAATGCAAGTTAATGCTCACCTACAAACATGACAAAAATATAACAGCGAATCCCTCTTTATACAGAATATCACAATTAAATTTAAGTCACTAAGAAATGAGTCAGTTTTGAAAGGATATAATACAAAAATGAATCAAGAAGAAAGCAAGAAAAAATTAAACAGAAAATTTAAAATACATGTATTTAACAATCTCAAAGACAATGAATAAAAAGATGAAAAAATATTTTTGCTTAAGAAAAAGGCAATTTTAATTGTATCTAAATTTTCAGTGTATAATGTTTAGATACACGTATATGCTAAATGCAGCTTAATCAAAGTAATTCAGCTCCAGTTTGTTCTAAATACTGCCATGTTATGCAGATGGAAACTTTTTTATGATGGAATTTAATTTCCCACTCAACCACTTACAGAAAATAAATTAAAAAAATTTTTTACTCATTATACATATACAAGTCCAATTTTTTTTAGTGTTTTTAAAAACACAATACAGAGACTGCACTTATATATATAAAATGTCTACATATGTGATTTTTTGAATGTCCTTCAACATTTGAATCTAGATAAGAGTTATCACAGCCATTATGATGACCTTCAGCCCCCTGTGATTATTGTCCAGGGCCAGGGGGCTCTGGCTGGACGGGGCTTCCCGGATTATGACTGTGCATTTCTGGTTGATATGTCAGAAGTACAATCATCACCCAAATGTGCAGCAATACCTGAAATCATAGTATGAACTTCTGTGAACAAAATGATATTTGTTAGTACCGGGGTAATAAAACTAGATGTGTACTTCACACTTCCACATGAGTTGTTCATTCACAAGAAAATGTTTAATATCATTCCCTCACAACAAATTTGCAAGTGGATATGGCAATTCAACAGCATCCTTTGGGGCATCCATGCACCTCTCATGTTGTGGAAACAATATATAAGTGCTATTCTTTAATTTGCTACAGTGTGTTAAGTGACCAGAGGAATGAACATGTACAGGGTATTCATCTGAAGGTCAAACTTACACTATCTTCTTTCAAAAGTTGTGGACACGGGATAATTTCACCATTCAGACTCAAACTTATGATAGGGGTGGTCAATAACAAGAAGAACACGACTATTTATTTGAGGTTCCAAAGGTCATGGTCAAAGTTATTGTGAGCCTTTTACATTGCTATGGACACAATATATAGTTATTTCACCTTTTAGTCTTAAACTTGCTAGAGGTAATAAGTGACCAAGGGTACTAACACATACAGCAAAGGTCAAGGTTAGGATATTTTCTTACCAATATTTTGGACATGATATGTAGGCTACATGAGCATTAAATTAAGGGGATAGGGATTACTTTAATATGGGAGCATGAAATGACCAATCCAAGGGTCAGTAAGTATATAATAATAAATGTAATATTACAAAACATTTTCTCTGAAGATCTGCCTGTTAACTAAACAAACTGCCTACCATGTACATCAGGATAAACACTCTGGCAATGGGGTACCTCCGGAGAAACACACCTAGTCTTATGCTGTAAAATAACAAAATATTACCATCAGATTTTTTTTTTTTTTTTTTTTAATTATTTTTCTTTTGTTAGTTACATGCATTCACTATGTACACGTAAATAGATTATTATTTCTTGCCTGAATTTGTCAATGACATTAGCAGCCCTTTTCATTTTCTTTGTGACTTCATGATCTGTTGGTGTCTCCCTCATAAAGCCAGGGTATCTCTGTCGTACTGCTGTTTATAAACAAGATTTGTATTTTACACCTTAATTAAAGAAAAGAAACATCGTCAGAGATATTCAAAGGTTCCCTAATAATTATATTTAAAGCAATTTCAGCATGTAACCATTTATTACAGCAAAATACACACCAAACTAGTGTATCAATTCATCCAAACAGATGTAGGATATCAATTAACAGGTATGGGATATCAATTAACAGGTATGGGATATCAATTAACAGGTATAGGATATCAATTAACATGTATAGGATATCAATTATAAGGTATAGGATATCAATTAAAATGTAAGGATATCAATTAAAAGGTATACGATATCAATTAACATGTATAGGATATCAATTAACATGTATAAGATATCAATTAACAGGTACAGGATATCAATTAAAAGGTATAGGATATCAATTAAAAGGTATAGGATATCAATTAACAATGGTAGGATATCAATTAATAGGTGTAGGATGTCAATTAACAGGTATCAGATATCAATTAAGGACAGATGACATACACAAACTTTCTTCAAAATCATGAAAATAACATCGTCTGATACCCACAGGTGATCTCGTCCTAATAGTAAAATTAAGTAAATATTACTAGTAAAAGATGAGATCACTGTGGCTATCCAACAAAGGAAAATAACAAATAAAGCCATGTTTATACATGTGTAAGTAAAATTAACAAGAGGCCCATGGGCCACATCGCTCACCTGAGCACATTGGCTAGGCAAAAGCACAAATCAGTTCAGTATTGAAAAGAAGAAGAAGATATTTCCCTATATATTTCTACTTAAGACTTTGATCCTCCATTGTGGCCCTATCCTACCCAAGGGGGTCATGACTTGAACAAAATAGAATCTACACTACCTGAGGATGCTTCCATATAAATATGATCAATCAGGGCTTTGCTGTTCCTGAGAAGACGATTTTTAAAATTTTTCCTATACATTTCTATGTTAAAATTTGATCCTCCATTGTGGCCCCGCCCTACCCCCGCGGGTCATGATTTGAATAAATTTGAATCTACACTACCTGTGGATGTTTCCATATAAATATGAACAATCTGGGCTTTGCTGTTCCTGAGAAGAAGATTTTTCCTATATATTTCTATGTACAACTTTGATAGTCCATTGCAGCCCTGCCCTACCCCCGGTGATCATGATTTGAACAAACTTGAATCTACACTACCTGAGGACGCTTCCTTATATATATGACTCATCATGGCTTTGCTGTTCTTGAGAAGAAGATTTTTAAAGATTTTTCCTATATATTATTTCTATATAAAACTTTGATCCTCCATTGTGGCCCCGCCCTACCCCCTGGGGTCATGATTTTAACAAACTTGAATCTACACTACCCGAAGATGCTTCCATATAAATATGACTCATCATGACTTTGCTGTTCTTGAAAAGAAGATTTTTAAAGATTTTTCCTATATATTTCTATGTAAAACTTTCATCCTCCATTGTGGCCCCGCCCTACCCCCGGGGGTCATGGTTTGAACAAACTTGAATCTACACTACCTGAGGATGCTCCCATATAAATATGACTCATCATGACTTTGCTGTTCTTAAGAAGAAGATTTTTAAAGATTTTTCCTATATATTTCTATGTAAAACTTTGATCCTCCATTGTGGCCCCGCCCTACCCCGGGGGTCATGGTTTGAACAAACTTGAATCTACACTACCTGAGGATGCTTCCATATAAATATGACTCATCATGGCTTTGCTGTTCTTGAGAAGAAGATTTTTAAAGCAATATGAGCTGCAACTTTGATGTCAGAAATTTTTGTTGCAAAATTGTAATTAACTGTTTCAATGACACAAAAAAGAACGTATATAAACTTCTGTTGTTCATATTGGCGATAGAAGAACTATTTATAAGCTTTGATTGAAGCAAAATTACATTATTGTCGTCCTGTACAATATTAATTTCTTATAAAATACTATATATTTGATTGTACAGAATCCTTTATTCTGAAACAATTTGATACTTTATTTTTGTTTAATTGATCAAAAAAGTTTAAATTACATACAAATTTATCATAATAACACATTTTAACAGCAAAATAAAATTCTCAAAAATGCAGCTCATATTGCTTTTAAGATTTTTCCTATATATTTCTATGTGAAACTTTGATCCTCCATTGTGGCCCCGCCCTACCCCCGGGGGTCAGGATTTGAACAAACTTGAATGTACACTACTTAAGGATGCTTCCACACGAGTTTCATCTTTCCTGGACCTATGGTTCTTGAGAAGAAGATTTTTAAATGTTGCCATTATTTTTTCACTAATTCCTAATTATCTCCCCTTGAAAGAGGGCGTGGCCCTTCATTTGAACAAACTTGAATCCCCTTTACCCAAGGATACTTTGTGGCAAATTTGGTTGAAATTGGCCCAGTGGTTCTTGAGAAGAAGTGGAAAATGTGAAAAGTTTACAGACAGACAGACAGACAGACAGACAGACGGACAGACAGACGGACGCCGGACAAAATGTGATCAGAAAAGCTCACTTGAGCTTTCAGCTCAGGTGAGCTAAAAAGTTTAGCCACATACATGTAGATTTTAATTTTTCATTAAGTTTCACTACAATGTTCTATAAAGTGATGAAAAGTTGTAGAGATTTATAAGGGTGACAGCAAAAAGCTAGAATTTTGAAAACCAAAGAAAGTGTACAGTTTCTTACTATTTCAGAATTTTGACATTCGCCTCATTTACAACTAAAATGGATGCAAAAATATCCATCCAAGGTTCCATCTGTATGAGATATTTTGTTTTTATTGATTCTTTAGATGTAGTTTAGCTGGAATGCCTACCTTCTTCATCATCGTGTACATTGACAACCGTTGTGTTTGTCCTCAATGAGGATGACTGGATATCCTTATACTGTTGCTGAAAATAATTATTAAAAGAAATAAAATAAATTGAATTAAGTCCAGTATTCTCTAAAAATCAATGACACATAAATTGGAAAGGCACCATAAAATGTTTGCTCTACAGTTAAGCTGGAACACTCGTTTTCAAAATACGCAGTGGCCTCTTTAACTTAAAGCTACGTCACTTATAATACATTACATACTTGTCTTATGATTTCACCTACAGTTGAAATGCAGAGAAACAGTTACTTGTAATTCTCCTTTTCTTGAGCAATCCTGTTTTTTTTCTTACCTCCATTCTCTCCAGCTGTAAGGCCAGTGAGTTTTTCTGTGTACTCAGTGTTTCCAGTGTTGTTTGTTTCTGTATAAGGCTTTCTGTCAGTGTTTTTACTCGAGCCTCCAACTCATTCTCAGTTGATGAACTCATTGACTTGGTCATGATCTGATTAAAACAAAACACCAAATAAAAAATCTATTTCCATGACACAATATATCATTTCATGACATACTGCATGGAGAACTTTGAAAATTAAGGTTCTTTTTTCAGGCATTGTTACCAATCACTACATTATGAGAAAAAAATAAGATTTTTTACTAGTTCACCTGTTTTACTAATGATACATGTATATATTTCCTCAAACCAAAATGTCTAGTGCCGTCAACATTTGTGCCTTTCTGTGGATAGTAATTATGTTTATACAAACACACACACCTGGTTTCTAAGTTTCTCAATCTCCGCTTCTCTGTCTTTGATACAGGTCTGATAAGTCATTTTGGTCTTCCTCAGCTCCTCAATGTTGTATTGCAATTCCTGTCATGAAATATTATCCCAAGTTCACAATACATGTACTTCTCTAATAAACCAGATTTTTTATCCTTGTTCAATTTTTAAGGGATTCATTGTCATCTACATGTATATGCAGATCAAAATACATATCTATTCACCTACCCATGTATCTTTCTATTATACCTCTATACATGTTTTCCCCCTGTACTGTTTCTGTTTTACCCTTGTACCTGTTTCTGTTTCCCCCTTTAGTACCTGTTTCTGTTTTGTCCCTGTAGCACCTGTTTCTGTTTTCCCTCCATACCTGTTTCTGTTTTACCCTGTGCCTGTCTCTGATTTACCCTTTTAATGTGTCTCTGTTTACCCCTTTACCTGTTTCTGTTTTCCCTTGTACTGTGTTTCTGTTTTACCCCTGTACCTGTTTTTGTTTTCCCACTGTACCGTACATACTCGCCTGTAAGTCGGTTGTATTTTTTTGGGTTATTTTGGAGGGATTTGCCATTGACCTGCTTATAAGTCAGTACAACTTTTTGCCAGAATCAGTTGACAATTTCAAATCAATGCTCTGATGTTTTAACATGATTTCGATTAATATTTTTAGAAATGACGCCGATATTTAATTTTAAATCATTAAGAAAAATACAAATTCACACTTAAGATAAAAATAAAGTTATTAAAATATGTAAATAATGGTACTTTATGCACAACCTTAGAATACATAAATGATATAATATATCCAGACTTTGTCCGACCATAATCGAGGGAAATGTTTATAAAATACTACATTTCGCCATCCAGAAAAATACTAATCTTTTTATGACTCGCCTATAAGTCGGACATCGAGTTTTGGACCAAAATTAAACTCCCAAAAAAACGACTTATAGGTGAGTATATATGGTACTTGTTTCTGTTTTCCCCCCTGTACTCTGTCTCTGATTTTGCCTGCACCTGTTTCTGTTTTACCCCTGTACCTGTCTCTGTTTTCCCCCTGTACTGTGTTTCTGATTTCCCCTGTACCTGTTTCTGTTTTTCCCCCCATACCTGTTTTTGTTTTCCCCCTGTCCCTGTTTCTTTTTCCCCCTGTATCTGTTTCTGTTTTACCCCTGTACCTGTTTCTGTTTTCCCCTGTACCTGTTTTTGTTTTCCCCCTGTACCTGATTCTGTTTACCCCATGTACCTGTTTTCCCCCTGTACTCTGTTTCTGTTTTCCCCCTGTACCTGTTTTTGTTTTAAGAGTTCCTGTTCTGCCTCCTCTCTTCTCTGTTTTTCACTGCTGACATTGTCCTCCAGAGATCGAATCTGTTCATTAGCTGTGTCACTGTCATGCTGAAGCTGGGTTTCCATGTCCTAAATATATAAACATCAATAATATCATCAATTTTTGAAATTTTAACTGTACATTAGGATTCATTCTCTTGGGTTCATAGAATTCATCAATGCTCCTTGGTTTGAAATAACACATTACAATAGAATCATAATTGTTCATGGGGGACCAATGTTCATGGATTTCGTGGGTCACCCTTACCCACAAATTTACATCCCCAGGAGTGTTTATTTTGTAAACATATTGATTCCTTGAATCTATTGTAAAAATTGAGTAAACCACAAAATCATGTCCTTAAGAACAAGTAAAACTTTGCTTACCCATTAACATTGACCCACACAAATTAAAATGATTCCACAGTATGCAAATTTATAAAGAGGCCCAGACAGTTTTAAACACATTCAACTCATTTTTGTTTTCACTTGACAAAATAATGAAAATGTGTCCCAAAATATATACTCTTACAAATAATTTTTACCAAAAGCTCCATTCTCAAGTTCTCAACTGTCATTTTGTACTGCTGTAATTCCTCTTTAAACATGTCTCGTTCCTGCTTCACAGAGTCATACTCTAAGTTGGACACACCCATGGACTCACCGGAGGCTCCAGACCCTTCCCTTAGACTGGCAATCAGCCGTTCCTTGGACTATAATTCAAATAAAGCACTTCTTATAGCTTGTCTAAGAGCATTAACATTACGAAATAACAGACAATACATCTGCAGGTCTGTAGCTCACTGAAAAAATTTGGATGGACTAGGGATGACCAGTGAGCTACAGACCTGCAGCTAACAATATAACAACTCTCAGATGTATTTTCAATTGGGTTATAATTCTAATGTTTTGATGGAAAAATTGTTCTTACGATGAGTACATTTGTGTACCTGTAAAATTCTTGCTGCTTTCTCTTTATAATCTGCCAGCTCTTGTCTGGCACTATCAGCACTCTGCTTAGCTGCCTTCAGCTGATTGGCCAAATCACTTGCCTTACCTGAACAAAATAAAAAAGATTCCTGTTGTTAACAAGCATTGTTGACTTCTCTGGGACAGACCTTATGAGTGGAGTTTATTTCAACAATTCTAACTTCTGTACACATGTAATTTACAATGCACTGAAGCATATACATGTACATGAGGAAATATGTATGTGCAAAGTTTCATATCAGGATTTTCTCTTGCATCAGCAATTGATTTATATATCTGTACTATAAATCAAATCCTCATTCCTTATGACCTACTTTTCTCCTCTGTTGCTCTCCTGTCTGCCGCTGTTAAAGCATCGGCCAGACTTCTCTGTTCCTGTTCTAGCCTGCTCTGTCGATCAGATGCTTCTTGCTGTAAACAATGTAAACACAATTCTCTCTGAGTATTTAAATGCTAAAAAGTTCTTAATGTACAAATCAAATCAAAACATAATTTTGGTCATTTGTAAGAAACACTTCAAATTGTTCTTTTTCATTAACACACCTGTACTTGTTTAAGGGCATCCTGTTCTCTCCTTAGTGCCCCTTCTACCTCAGACAGTTTAGCTTGAACAGAATCCAGAGCTTGGCTATGTACTCCAGTAGAATCACTGTGGTCCCTTAATATTCTGAAATACACACAAAACATGTACATGTATATCTAAATGCCAATCAAATATTGTCTTCACATACATGTATCTTGCAATAAAAAAATAATGTCATCATATTTTTTCAACAAAATGAACTCAAAGGAGTTTGAGGATAAATACTCAAGATGTATACTTTTACATTTAACTTAAACTGTTTAAAAACTAAAATACAGTCAAACCTCGTTATCTTGAACTCAATGGGACTGAGAAAGAACTTCGAAATATCTGAGTATTCCAGATATCGAGGGTTAAATACTTAAAGAATAAGTGGTTGGGACTTCCAATTCACTTCGACATATCCATGGTATTTGAGATATCAGTGTTCAAGATACAGAAGTTCAACTGTGAATGTATGTATCCTGTTAACATTCAGAAACTAAAATATGTATTCTAGCTGTTATGTTAACACTCAAAAACTAAAATATGTATCCTGTTAACACTCTCTCCTTACCTGCCCCTTTCCTCCTCTAGTTCGGAGATACTTCTATCCTTCCCTGCCCCTTTCCTCCTCTAGCTCGGAGATACTTTTATCCTTACCTGCCCCTTTCCTCCTCTAGCTCGGAGATACTTTTCTGTTTGGATTCCATCTGTTTGTCTGCCTCCTCTAGACGGATCCGGAGAACTCCTAACTGGGAGTCCTTTGCTTGGAGGGCTTCCATTAAGTCAGATTCCCTGGACTGTAACTCTCTCACTAACTGGTCGGACTGGGATTGGGTCTTCTGATAATTGTCCATCTTCCTCCTCATTTGCTCCACCTCTGATCAATACAAATATTCAAGATAAAGAAATTCTCAAAATTCTCTTACAATTGAAAATTAAAAATATAATAAAAGTTAAACTTTTCCATATCATATACAAAGATAATCTAAAACAACTGAATGCACTAGGTAGGGTGAGACAACATGAAATTGTTCAGAATAAATTTTTTGCAGTATACATACTCTCTTGAAAAATATGTTACTTTGCATCTCCTTGTAAAACTTGAATTGTTTATAAAACAATATTTCTTATTTGAGATTCATATAATGCAATCACTGCTAATTTATTAAATGGTTTTCAGTAAAGATTTAAAACCAAATACTGTAAAATGAACTTAATTTTAAATACATGCACATATTGAGGTTTGGTTAGAAAAACATCAATTTTTGATTACACAATTCATGGATTATGGAGCATTAGTTTTAATTTTTAGAAATTGAAATCATGAAATAAAAACCTTTGATCTGCTTATATTTCAGTAGTGATCTAGGTGAGTGGATCAAAGGATAAAATTGTAATTAGATTGTAGCAAAAAGGATAAAGATTTGTAAGCATTTTCATTGATACCTACCACTTTGTGCATCTTTGGATCTCTGAAGAACAGTTGCCATTTCCTGGTTCAGTGAAGACACCTCATTTTTCAGGAGTTTGTTTTCCAGTTCTAATGATGAGACTTTCTGCTCTAGCTCACCATGTGGCTCTACTTCCTGGTTGCTATGGACACTGTTGCTAGGACTCTGTTCCATCATGGCATCTGCCAGGGCTGCCACATCAGTGGTGCCATCCAGCTCTGTGGGACTCCTGTCTCCAGGATCTAAGACAGTCAAAAAATCAAAATAATATGGACATACCTGTAAAGATGTCACACAAGAAATGTTATAGTATAATCTGTATCTGTAAATGTCTTTCTCTTTGATTCTTGACACGGAGCTCAACTTTCATCAAGGAATACTTATTTGGGAGTAACTATTGGCTCATATATTGAGTCTTAATTAATCAAAAGTGTTACTAATATTGCTTTATGAAATACATTCAAACAGAATCTAATTTTCTGATTTCTTACTAAGCGGTCAAATAAATATTTTATATAATTTTCAAGGATCAGGATCATACATGTGACAGAACTGAAAAATCACAACTGGAGATTTGAAATTTTTCAGCTGGAGTTTGGGTCTCAAAACTGGAGATTTTTTATCGGCATTTTTTTCAAATCACAAAAGACCATCCAACCCCCTAAATTCAGGAAAAAATACCTTCTCCCAGTTTATTACTTTACAAATTTTATTTCATAAAGTTGTTGTCTAGTTTTAAGAAAAATATTATAAAGTTTTTATTCAAATGAAGTGAAATTGAGTATTCAAAATAAAATCAATTAATTTACTAGTAAATTAATTAAGAGTTAACAGCATCATTACAACATTGGAAAAATTTTATTTTTGATTAAGTATTGCTATATCAACTAGTAAGTGAAGTAAAACATTCTAAGGTTTTATGTAACAAATTCTATATCAGTAATTTGTTTAGAATATGTACAGATGGAATAAAGTACCCTCTCAAAAAATATACAAATTAGAGTCCGGTATATTTTAGCAACACCCTGTAGTTTGATCTATATTTAACTAAAGTGTGACCTACATTATAACTGTATCTTTTAATGACCACTGCAGCATTAGAAGATGGCAATTGGGTATTGTAGCAACTAATTACAATGTTTTGCATTCAGTAATAAGCATCAATGGTCATTTATCAAGTTGATATGTCACTTATTTTTTTACAACATAATTATACGACCTCATGTTGATTCCTACGAAGCCTACTGCTGTGAAAATTTATACTGGCGTTGTATTCTCAATTTCTTTTCATTCTAATCTATTATATGAAACATGATAAAAAATATTGCAAATAATATTTAACATGTTTAATTTGAAGAATTTTTAAAACAAGGAAGATTTAAAAATTAATCGGGAGGGGAGGAAGGGGGGTGAAATATAGGGAGATTTTGTCTCCCGCCGGAAGAATCACATGTATGCAGGATACCTGATCCGGATGGCAGAGATTCTATGTGAACAATAGAAGATCCACTGGTGGAGACAGGGGTGTCACTTTCTTGTATGACCTTTCCACCCTTGTTTGAAACCACTGATGATGTACTTGATTGTCTGGAATGTCTAGCACTGCTGGCTGGTGTAGTCTTCTTTTTTGTCTCTGAAGATTCTGTCTTTTTCGTCTCTAATGGTTCAGGACTATTAAGAAAATCAAACAAGGCAGCATCTGTGTCTATTTTTTTCTTGGATGTCACATCCTGACTTATATTTGACTCAGGAGGTGCCTGTTTAGGGGTAGTTTCAGTAGTTTTGGGTTTCACAGTTTTGGGAGTTCCACTAGTCTGGAGTTTGCTCGATTGCCTTACAGGCGTACTAACACCATATGAAGAGAAATCACCACCAGTTCTTGATGTCTTGGCTGGGACACTCTGGGACCCTGCTTGTTGTAAATGTCTTGTTGACAAGGAGGAGGGAGGAGAGTGGCGGTCAGATGTGACTGGTAGGGAGGTGTTCAGGAGACCCTCCTCTTCAGTTTTGGTCAGAGCTTGGGCTGCTGATTGGTCCAACTTATTCAGAAAATCCTCAGCTTTTCCTGTCAGTCCTGACAACCATGACATCTTGCATGCTGTAAAGGAATTGAAAAATTGTGAGAGTCCCTGGGTATAAAAAGCAAATGTATCTAAGTTTTTATCATTAAGTCGATATTTGCAGCCCTTCGGGATAAAATGTAAGAATTGTAGCAGAGGCGAACTTTAAATACACATTCAGTTGAACATTTTCGGTGAATGCTAGCAATGTTAAAGAGAGATACTAAAATACTTACATCTGGATAACTGATAACAATTTAATCCACAAATATTATGTCTTCGGATTTGTCCAGTTGTAATAAAAAAAACAATGCAAAGTATTTTACATGCTTTTCCTGACATGCATTACTAGGTACCACAAAACGCCAAACTGATTCCGGAAGGTTGAAGACGTGTGACGTGACCACTGAAAGTTTCACTTCCGGTTTTATACACGTGCGTGAAGAATTTGTAAACAATGAGTGAACGGTGAACCAAGATCATGTAGCTTGTAACAAAGAACAAATATGAAGGTGGTCGCACTTGTAAGGTAAACTTGTTCATCATATACTATAGTAGAAATGCAAAAACTTAAATATTCTGGGTTGATCGTCGTTTTTTTTTCTTTTGAATTTTAAGTGTATATATTTTGGTTACAATTTACAAAAGACAGAATACATGTATCTGTATCTTTATGGTATACATTGTCAGTAGGTATCAAGTATGGTTTTTGTTCAAAGGGATTATATATGTTATGTATTAATAGAATATTAAATAAGATATCTACAGAAGTTGTCATTGTATCATGTGCTATCAGAAATTTCATATTCTTTTTCCAGTGGTGGTAAGGACAGCTGCTATAATATGATGCAATGTGTGAGTGAGGGGCATCAAATTGTTGCACTAGCCAACCTAAAACCAGAAAAGAAAGGTAATACTAGCTAAGGATCATCTTAATAATATTGTAGTGCAACCAAGCATGCAGTCTTTCTGCTACTTTAAAATCCTTTTACAATCCTTCGTATCATCTGGTAAATAATTTCATCCTCATTTGGTAGCATAAAATGAAATTCCAGTAATCAGTTTACAAATTTTTAAATGTTAATAGCAATCACATTATGTACAAAATTGAATTTACAAAACATCTAAATTTGAATCCTCCGAACCATGTGGGTGTGCTCCTGTATAAACAATTGTTTGGGGCAGCTCTGGTGGAGGTGCTAATACATGGCAGCTACTGGGTAGTCTAACAGGCACTTGATTGCATAAAATATATATACATCTAAATATCTTTTTTTTCTCTACAATATCATATTAAATGGGTCACCTGTGACAAGTAACGGTTGCTATTTATATAATTATTTTTTTTGCATGTACTCATGTAGGGTTTGACACACGGTGCACTGATGTATTTTCTTTTGAAAAGGAAGTTGAGCATTATTTAGACATAGTATGCTTACACTTTATAAATCCTTAAGTTTGTTTGCTATGCAAAAACAGTTGGGTATTGATTACATAGAGACAGACTTATGGAAAGCATAGTACAGGTATTATTTAATAATTTATGATTATAGTGAAAATATCTGATATTGTCAAATTTTTCAGATGAACTGGACAGCTATATGTTCCAAACAGTAGGTCATCATGGCATAGACTTGTACGCAGAAGCCATTGGTCTCCCCTTATATAGGCACACAATTCATGGCTCCTCAAAATCTATAGGACGAGATTACATGGTCACAGAAAATGATGAAGTAGAAGATTTATTCAATTTACTTAAAAATGTTAAGGTACATGTATTTTATTTTTTAGATGACAATGTGTATAATAAATAGTCAATTTTATCTGAGTGATGAAATATCCAATTGATGTCCTGTAATTTTGCTTTAAAAAATATATGGAAATAAATGAATGAAGAAATGTGAAGCTTATAAGTTACAAAGTTGACATTTCAATTGAAGATTAAAGTCATATCATTTTTTTTTTCTCAGGAAGAATGTGGAATTGAGGCTGTATCAGTTGGAGCCATTTTGTCAGATTATCAAAGAGTCAGAGTTGAAAATGTGTAAGTCAGATTTATACATGTAATAGGACAACATTACAAAATTGTCAAATTTGTTGATACATGTCTCACTGCATTTTAATTACTTCCTTCTTTTTAAAATAACAAATTTACAGAATTGTTAAATGTGTTGATACATGACCATTTAACTTATTAATTACTTCTGATACTCTGTTCATAATCTGTTATTTTATTTAAATGAATGTATCAAATAAAATATCTTCTTCCTTTTTTACCACAGATGTCAGAGGCTTGGACTTACGTCCCTTGCCTATTTATGGAGGAGAGACCAAGAAGAGTTGTTAAAAGAGATGATTGAATCACAGGTGATAGCAGTTCTAATCAAAGTTGCTTCCCTTGGTAAGATTATAATCAAGAAAAGCTTTTCAGGCAAAATTATACAATAAATCTTGCATGATCTTATTTTAAGAAAACACAAGCACTGTATTGTAACCTAAAGTTAAATTAATTGTGCAAGTTACAAAATTACAAACATATTACATCATAGAATTTATTAAATTAATTTATTACTGTTACATTGTTTCAAACTTGCCATATACCCCTGCATACATTGCCTCATTTTATTCTTAGGTTTAGAGCCTAAACACTTAGGTAAAACCCTGGGAGAGATGTCCCCTCATTTAAAGAAAATGGTAAGTTACATCATCTTGTGTGCCTTTAGTATCTGTTAAATAAGTTAAGGTATTTAAGGTGCACATGTACCCTTCTTATATTTCTATATTTAGAAAGAAAAATATCAGTTGAATGTATGCGGGGAAGGCGGAGAGTATGAGACCTTTACTGTGGACTGTCCTCTATTTGAGAAACGAATCATAATGTAAGTTAATAATCATGAGTATCCACAGTAGCAATCAAAGTATCCACAGTAGCAATCAAATCACTAATTGTAGGATATGTATACTGTGGAATAATTCAAGGGAGTCAATTTTCATGGGCAACAAAAATTTTACTGGTTCATGGTGACTTGTATATTCAGAAAATTCAATGAATGGATATGTGGACAATGTTATCATTTTGGAAAATTTTATTTCATGGGTAAGGGTTAACAACGAAATCCAAGATGATTTCACAGTTTTCTGTTTGAAAGGAAAAAAATCATTAAAGGAAAATGATATGTGTGTTCTTCTAAGAGAAAGTTTATTAATCTGTTATGATTATTCAATATAAAGATAAGCATTTTATAAAATCAATGAAATTGACCCCCCCCCCCTAAAAAAAAAAAACCCTGATGTTCATGTACATGTATTACAATTGTAGAGATGAAGTAGAAACAGTTATCCATTCTGATGATGCCTTTGCCCCAGTAGCTTATTTGAACATAAAAAGAGCACATCTAGAGGAAAAACCACTGGTAAAAATATAATTCTTCTTAAAACCTGAAATTGTAACAAGTTTTTTGTAACATATTCCGAGTTTTTAGTGATAATTGTTAAAATCAGTTTGAATGCTCTTAATTTTCACACAAATAAAACTGTACAGATAGATGAAGATATGGCAGACAGAGTAAAAGATTTGCCAATGTTAAGAAGCTCTCAGCTACACTCCTCCCTTCAACTGGAGAACACCACACAAGATCCACCCATGACTTCTCTCAGAGATGAAAGTCACAAAACAGTCTCACTTACAGGTAGAGTAAAATATGAACCCACTATTATGCTTGATTTGATTTTTGATAAAAATAATGTTATATGAGAGTTGTACAGGAGCATAATTATTTCCCATTGCTTTCATACCCTTAATATAAAAATTGTTCTTTTTATTGAACTTTTTTTTCCTTTCAAATTCTGGAATAAACTCCTACAAAGGAGTGTTGTATGCAATGTTTATTATTTATGTCAACTTTATCTCAGAAACAAAAAAAAAAGATTGACCCTACTTTGCTTCTCATACAGTTTTGTTATTTTCAGTGAGTGAAGATAAACTGATCTCTGTGGTAACTGAACATAACCATTTATGGATAACTGGACTCATTGGTCTGAACACAGGAAATACCAGCTTAACAGAAATCACCATCAAAACAATGAGCAAGCTTAAAGGTTTGTTTTTAAGCTAAATTAGAGTGTTCCAAGAAATGGAGAGACTGATCCCAATTTATTTTCTTACAATTTATCAAATGTATTTAAAATTCAGTTTGTGTGGTAACTGTTAAAGTACAGTGTCTTGAGCTCATAATGGTGAAATATACATGCTAATTATCAAATCCAGGCCTCTCAAAATTCCAAACACATAAGTTAAATTAGCTGTTTGGAGTATTCACCTAGATAGATGCTGGGGACAGTGATCCATAAGTGTCACCCTGCTCTGTAGTGACACAAAATATCCTCGCATGGTTTTTTTGATAATTGCTCGTGGAAATCCTTTGGGTAGTTGCATGACCTCTGTCCTTTCTTAGATGCCTTTTAGGTACAAAATTAATTGAAAGCAGTCTACCAGTACACTGTATGAAAAAAATATTTCCTTTTCTTCAAATTTAGTATTTTTATCTTCATGAGGTCATAAATCAGTGATCTATTGTTCCATTTTGTCAACAGTTAAAGTGGAGATCAACGTTAAATTTAGGAGATAGGGATTCAATATAAATTTTACTATCATGGAGGACCATGTGTTTAATAAATACGTCTTGTTTTAGAGATCTTGGAAAACTCTCCAGCAACCAGTAGCTGTGGTGTGAGTTGTGTTGCCATGGTTCACCTGTATATTCAAGACATGTCCATATTTGGTGAAGTTAATTCTGTTTACAAAACATATTTTGGGATTAATCCACCTGCTAGGTATGCTATACATCTGTATGCTATACGGTCAAACTTGTTTTGTATGAACACAGATATTGCCAATTTATTGATATGGCAAAGTTTTTTGGGGTCCCAAGCAAACATTCTTAAAAATTCCTTGTAAAATATTACAGTTATAACAGACTCTGATACAACAAATTAATGGATAAAATGAATTGATTTTGTGTCCTGTAGAGGTTAAACGTAACAAAATTTACCATCTTTTATAACAAATTTTTTAAGGTCCAAAAATTTAAAATATTAAACTGACTTTATACCTACCTACCTACGTAGTCGTCGTTATTCCCAGGGGCACATAGGGCAAGGACTACCGTATATACTCGCCTATAAGTCGGTCCGCCTATAAGTCGGTTGTGATTTTTGAGGTTATTTTGGAGGGATTTGCAATTGACCCGCCTATAAGTCGGTACAACTTTTTGCCAGAATCGGTGGACAATTTCAATTAATGCTCTAATGATTTAACGTTTTTCAAATAATATTTTGAAGGATTACGCCGATATTTTATCTCTTTTTTTTCCCTTCTCTTATAAATTTCATATCAATACTCTAATTTATTTACCTGTGTTCAAATAATATGTTAGGATATGACATCTGTAAATACTTGTACTTTATTTATAATCTATTTATACTTTATTTATAATTTATAATCATAGAATACATAAATAATATAATACGTTCAGACATTTCTCAACGATAATCGTCGAAGTTATGTAAAAAATACTACATGTTGTCGTCCAGAAAAATACCAAGCTTTTGATGTCTCGCCTATAAGTCGGACATAGAGTTTTAGACCAAAAGTTAACTCCCAAAAAACCGACTTATAGGCGAGTATATACGGTAGACTTCTCCATCTCACTGACTTTATAATTTAAAAGTAGTCATAATTGAAATTTTATTTAACAAAAAAATTTAGTTCTCCAAGATAGGTTTTATATTTGATTTTTCACTGAAGTTCAACATATTAGATAGTAATAAGAAGGAAAATACATGTATGCATTGTGAATTTGCCTTAGACACTAATACAAATTCGTTAACAGATATAAAAAAAACATAGCAAAGTAAATCCGGAGGTCCGTAGGACTTACCGTAATTGCTATTTATAAATCAAGTTTGTAATAAGGTCAGAAATAAAGACAGAAGAAACTCAACATTTAGATGTATTTGCCCTGGTACATGTATGTATATAAACACATGTATCTCATTTAAAGTGACAGTACGGCGCATCTCATCAAAAAACTGACTAGATAAAATTTTCCGACAAAATTTGGAATTTTTTACTACTCATAAATGTATAAACTTTCAGAAAATTACAACTTTTACAATTAAATAATTTGGATTATTTCATTAAAATTAATAATTATTTATGGGACGTAAATATATACATCGCAACGTGTTTGGGGTTCCACATTCCATGCTTTGCACGCATGGGTAGTTTTCATAAACAAAACAGCATGGTTAGAGAGGGAATCCCGGTAGGCCTGCTACATTGACAAAGTCGACTAAAAATAAAAAGAAACTGAAAATAGAACTTGAAAAAGCAACTTTCCTGACTAAAATTTAGTTTGGGGATTAATATAATCGCTGGATAAGGAAGAAACGGGAACTCGGCGACACTCAAGCAGGGCTCTCGAAGGTTCGACAGGTTTGTTGATACTTGTTATCATTTCTCATTTTTCCGTCGCTTTCAAAGAAAAAAAAATAGTGTAAACTCAACATAAAAAATACATCTTTGACTTATAAACATTGTTGCCATTTGAAATGCTATTTTTTTTAACTGTGCAGAAAATATTTTGTTTGACATTTGCCGCGATAACGTATGATTAGTTGGTTTTTCCTTTCTCGGGCCCCAATACACAAAACGTCAACATTTGTACTTTTAATTCTGTTAAATTCGCCTGAATGCAGACTAAAATCTTTACGATTATTATTTTAGATTATTTTATCAAAAAGTTAGGATAATATGTGTTTTTGAAAATTGCTTTCACCTAATATTCATTATAACTGTAAACTCTACAGTGTAGGCACGTGCCGTTTTGGAATTCACATGGTACAAATAAACAGATCTAAGATTGCTCCAGTTCGTACGACCCTTGATTTTCCGGCAGATTCTAATTACGTTAATTTTGTTTGAGTAGAGAATATTTCTGTTTCTCAAACTGCTTACATCAACTTTATACCTTATTTCTTAATGATATATTGGGTAAATTTGGATGAAAAAGCACACATTTTGCAGCCGTACTGTCGCTTTAATGATGTTGGAAACAGCATCATTAAAATAAATAAGAATAGTGTACATGTATGTTTACTGAAGTTCTTGGATATGATATATTTATGCCCTGTTCACACGGAGAGTTAAATTCGCAGTAAATTAATGCGAAGTAAAATGATGCGAATTAAACTAATGCAAATTAAATTGCATTCACACGAAAGCTAATGCGAAGTAAACTAATGCAAATATAATTTTATTTCTACAACAAGGCTATTCAGTGAGGCTATTATGATGTCATTTACAAATCACGTCATATTGTGCAGAGCAGATATACATTCTACAAAATGTCATGTAGTGTTTGTACACATTTTAGTGATTAACATAATTTTCCTTTGTTTTCCACTCAAAAATAGCACAAGTAGCTATATTTGACCATCGACATGTGGTCTGTGACTTTATTCTGCCCTTACGCATGCGTCAAAATTTTCGAATTAGCTTCACTTAGCATTCACATGAAGCTAATGCAAAGTAATTTAATACGCAGTAAACTAATTCGAATTAAACTAATTTGCATTAAATTCTTCGTGTGAACGCGGATAAAATTTAATTCACAGTAACTTACGTTTAATTCAAATTAAACTCTCCGTGTGAACAGGGCATTAGAGTGAAGTCACAATAAGCAAGGCTCTTCTGGACTACTCGTACATTTTTCACTTATTTACAGAATTTGTGTCCAGGCCACCTTACCACCTAATGTGGCCCTGCAGATAGATTGTTATTGTAACAAGGATGTTAATGATAGACAAACAATGCATGTTCAGGGCCTATCCCACTGGGCACCAGCAAACATTGGTCCTTATAGTCAATGTGTGAAGGTAAGGCTAATTCATTTCAGTCTAATAACATCTCCATGTCTGGATACATTATTTCACAATAAGTGGTTCATATTATCGATGTCAGTAGCTTAAGTATTGTATTTTTACCGGTATTGATAACTCTCTATAAAACAGTAAAACCAGTGTACACCTCTAAAGAACTCCTTTATTTGACTGAGTTATAGGCCTTTATAGACTTCAATCAAAGTTGATGTTTTTAGGGATTGGGGATATTTAGGTCACCTGAGTTTACTCAAGTGACCTATTGCTCTCTGTTTTCATTCGTCGGCGTGCATCGTCCATCGTCCTTTGTGTGTTAACATTTGAACATTTTCAGCTTCTTCTCTGGAACCACTGAACCAATTTCAACCAAATTTGGCATATAGCATCTATCTGTGGAGGGGAGTGAAAATTGTGAAATTCATGACCCCTACCTCCCCCCCCCCCCCCCTGGTGCCTGAGGGGTGGGGCAAAACCATCAAAATAAATGCAATCTTTAAAAATCTTCTTCTTTACTCCTGAACATCAAGCAGGCAAATTGTTGGCATTATTGTAATAAGCATTGAGCCCTCTACTTAAATTGTGAAATTCATGGCCTCAGGGTCAGGGGTTCTGGTGCTAGGGCAGGGCTCTGTTGAATATATAGTGATAATGCATTATTTCTTTAAAAATCTTCTTCTCTGATCCAGGGCAAACATACTAAATGCACAGTTATGATGAGTAAGGGTGCCTCTTCCTTTATTTTGAATTTCATGGCCCCTGGGTCAGGGGTCCTGATGTTAGGGCGGGGCTTTAATGATTACATAGTAAAAATGCAATAATTCTTTGACAATCTTCTCCTTTTCTCCTGGGTATTAAGCTGATGAACTAAAAGTTTAGTGTAAAGTAGTGATGAGTAAGGGTACATCTTCCAAAATTGTGGAATTCATGGCCCCAGGCTCAGGGGTTCTGGTGTTAGGGTGGGGGTCTGTTGAATATATAGTGAAAATGCATTATTTCTTTAAAAATCATTTTCTTTGATCCAGGGTATTAAGCTAACAAACTGAATAGTTATGCATAGTTATGATGAGTAAGGAAGCCTCTTCCAAAATTGTGAATTTCATGACCCCTGGGTCAGGGGTTCTGGTGTTAGGGCGGGGCTCTAATGATTACATAGTAAAAAATGTAATAATACTTTGAAAATCTTCTCCTTTCCTCCTGGGTATAAAACCGATGAACTAAGAGTATAGTTATGATGAGTAAGGGTGCCTCTTCCAAAATTGTGAATTTTATGGCCCCTGGTTCAGGTTCTGGTGTTAGGGCAGGGCTCTAATGATTTCATAGTGAAAAATGCATTAATTCTTTGATAATCCTCTGCTCTGTTTCTGGGCATTAAGAAAGCAAAATAAATGTAAAGTTATGATGATCAAGTGTGCCTCTTTCGAAATTGTGAATTTCATGGCCTCTGGTTTAACCCATGAACCCAATTTAATTGTGGCAAAGTTCTTACATGATACTCAGGTGACCTATAAGACCCATGGGGCTCTTGTTGTTTATAAGGGCAACAAATGTATTCCAAAGATAACATACAATGTAACATGTAGAATACTACATGTACAGGTAGCTTCCCAGGAAGATTTATTTAAATTTAGTTTTTTTTATAAACAAAACAGGTCAAAGACAAACTATATGTGGCAGGACAGATAGCAATGTGCCCAGCTAACTTGGCGATTATAAGTGGAGGAATAGTTCCGCAGGCAAGACTGTCTCTCCGCCATGTACAGAGGATATTAGAAGCAATGCATTGTGGGATGGACAAACTAAATATGGTTGTTTGTTATGTTACTGATATTGGCTATGTACAGTCAGCTCAAAAGGAATTGGAAACATACAAATTAAGATATGAGGTAAAAAAAAAATCCTTGTTTTGGTATGAAATTGGCAAAAAAGGAAAGAAAAGATTTAAGTGTCTCAAGTTTAAGAAATTTTATCCGTTGAGTATGTCTTCAATGGATTTCAAGTAGATGGCATTTCTAAAAATTACTTCAGTACATGTATCTACATGTTTTTGTTTGAGTGCAGCAGCCTTGGGGTAAATAGAATAATGGACTTTTGCGAGAAACGCTGACTTGTACAGTCGACAGCTTACTTTGACATTTAAACTTGTGTTATGTACAGAGGTACAGAATTGATAATAGATAAGAAAACATTAATAGTGGTTATAGGTATGGTGTTAGAGGCCCATAAATGATTTACCTGTATACAACCAACACAACAGATGATGGGAGACAGAATAACATTGCTTATATGTTATTTGTAAGGGGTAGTATCTCCTTTCAGTTTCATTTGTTGATGAAATTAAATAAGGAAGGAAAAAAACATTTCAAAAGGAAAACTTGACAAGAGTTGGTCAAGGTGGAAAGGGAGGGGGTTGAGGATAGGGTGGTTGCAGTTCCCTTCCTAGACAACATAATATGTGCTTTGAAACTGTCCATTATTACCTTTTAATTAATTGTTCAGCTGAATATTTATATCGCAAAAGGGCCTCTGTATATTGTCCTAGTAAAAAAATATGCCGTCGACTATAAAAGTCAGCCCTTCTCGCAAAAGTCCAATGTTGACATTGTGATTACATCACCTGTTTCCTCTGTTGTCAGAAGGATGGGGAGTTTGGAGTAGAGGAACAGAACAGTTCCTCACCCACAGTGGTTTATGTAGAGGTACCAAGGTTACCTAAAGATGCTCTCATAGAATGGCAGGTCACAGCTAGAACAGACCTCCATGAATTGTCTGGTAAGTGTTAGAAAGGTTGATGTCAATGCCCTACATGCAACATTTGAAAACATAAGAAATAATGTTAATGGTGTTTTGGAAGATATGTATCAAAGTACACTAAAACAGCCACAATTTTTTTTTATGTTACATGTGCATATTCTTGAGACTTTATTCAGCAGGAAATATCAGAGGATATCACAACATTTATCCACAAGTTAATTTTACATAATCATTCAGTACTGTTCAGTTGCAGAATGGAGGAAGAATATTCAGTTGCCCCACTTTAAATGTTATGTACATTGTCTCCATACTGATGAAGAAATCATTTCATGTGTGATATCAATAAGTAAGTAAAGAAGGGAAACTATACACATATTTTTTTTAAATTCAAAATATTTAAATATTTAGTTTGTAAAATCAATTTCCAATTAAAAACATTCTAATCATAGAAATTTATAAAATGAATGTAACATTTTCTGCTTATTTAAATAAAATTGATGACCATTGACTGACCCCATTGAACTAATTCTTTTTCAGGAAGTATAGAATCTGTTGAGAATTCATTAACAAAGAAAGTGTTAGACTGTTTCCGTCAGGTCCTAAATGAAGTCCAAGTATCACTGCCAGCAACATTTAAGTCAATATTCCCACTACGAATTTTCTTCTCCTCTAGTCAGCTCAATATCAATGAACTTTATCAGGGTAAGACTTTCATTGATATTTTCTCATTGTTCTTGCTTGTACTAATTAGTATAACTTTTTAGCCAGTTAGATTTGCTTGGATTTTATTTCAAAAGCATTTACTGCTGTTTTTTTTTTTTCTTTTTGATGTTTGTTTTTAAGTCAAAAATAACAACTTGAATTGTAGTGTAGGAGAGATTTAATTGTCTTGTTGTAGTGGTAGCTGATATTAATGTCCTGTTGTAGTGGTAGCAGATATTTATGTCATGTTGTAGTGGTAGCAGATATTTATGTCTTTTTGTAATGGTAGCAGATATTTATGTCTTCTTGTAATGCTAGCTGATATTTATGTCTTGTTGTAGTGGTAGTAGATAATTATGTCTTTTTGTAATAGTAGCAGATATTTATGTCTTGATGTAGTGGTAGCAGGTAATTATGTCCTGTTGTAGTGGTAGCTGTTATTAATGTCCTGTTGTAGTGGTAGCAGATATTTATGTCTTGATGTAGTGGTAGCAGATAATTATGTCCTGTTGTAGAGGTAACAGATATTTATGTCTTGTTGTAGTGGTAGCGGATATTTATGTCTTGTTGTAGTGGTAGCAGATATTTATGTCTTGTTGTAATGGTAGCAGTTATTTATGTCTTGTTGTAGTGGTAGCAGATAATTATGTCTTGTTGTAGTGGTAGCTGTTATTAATGTCCTGTTGTAGTGGTAGCAGATATTTATGTTGTGTTATAGTGGTATCCGAGATATAGGTCATATTGTAGTTGTGTTAGAAATTTATATGGATGATTTATGTCATATGATAGTGGTTGTAGAAATTATATTATGTTTTAGGGGAGCAAAAAATGTGTGCTGTGTTAAGTTGCAAAATTAAGGTCTTATTGTAATGGTGACAGAAAATTAAATCACCAGATAATACAGTAGCCTGTTGACATTTTTGTTTCTGTCATGTGCTGCATGTATCCTTCATCATTCAAAGATTTTTGAACATTTTTATTCCCCCCACAAACAAAGTTGGGAGGTTGTTATATAGGAATCACCTTTTCTGTCTGTCCATGCGTCCATCCGTCTTTCTGTGCAATCTTGTCCAGGCTATAACTTTGTAATGGAGAATCACTGGAAGCTCATACTTGATACAGAGATTGCTTATGACATGAAGATGTGCCATAACCTTAAACCAAGGTCTTTCTGGCAAGTTCAAGGTCACTGGCAAAAAGAGAATTAAATTCTTATCTGGGCTATTACTTGTAATGGAGAATCACTGGAAGCTCTTACTAGGTACAAGGACTGCTTATGACCCAAGGGCATGTTATGACCTTGTACCAAGGTCATTCTGGCAAGTTCAAGGTCACTGACAGAAAAAGTATAAATTTTTTGTCTGAGCTATAACTTTGACTTTATATTTGAGAATCACTGGAAGCTCATGCTTGGTACAGAGATTGCTTATGATGCTAGGGTGTGTGATGACCTTGATCCAAGGTCATTTTGGCAAGTTCAATGTCACTGGCAGAAAAATTATAGAAATCTTGTTTTGGGTATAACTTTATCATGAAAATCCCTAGAAGCTCATATTGGCTTTGACCCGATAGTGTGTCCTAACCTTTAACCAAGGTCATTCTGGCAAGTTCAAGGTCACTGGCAGAAAAAGTATAAAATTCTTGTCTGGGCTATAACTTTGTAATGGAGAATCACTGGAAGCTCGTACTTGATACAGAGATTGCTTATGACCCACAGGGTGTGTCCTGAACTTGAACCAAGGTCATTCTGGCAAGTTCAAGGTAACTAGCAGAAAAGTATAAAAATCTTGTCTGGGCTATTACTTTGTAATGGAAAATCATCAGAAGCTCATACTTGGTACAGAGATTGTTAAGGACTTGAGAGTGTGTCATGACCTTGATCCAAGTTCAAGATCACTGGTAAAAAAAAATGTAACATTTGTAACAGGTCTATAATTTTCTAGTGTGGAAATACTGCATGTCCATATTTCACTGAAATAATTTGTTAACAAGATTTCTTCTGGTAAGTTCAAGGTCACATTTACAAAATTTGAATGGGCACATTAAAAATTGTAGCAGGGGGTATTATTTTGTGAGCTTACTCACAGTACCTCTAGTTCTATATCTTCAATAATCCTTAATCATTCTTTTGATCAATCTCTCTCAGTGTATGAATTTTGGTTAGTATATCTTGAACACTTTCTTTGAGCTACACACAAAGTGTAAAGGACAGAAGGACAGAATGATGGAAGATGGACATGACAATCACTATGTGTGTATATGCCTCGGCCATATTCATGGTAGGGTATAAAAAATCTTCTCTAAAACAGCAAGGTCATGTTAGTCATATTGAAATTGAGGCATCTCAATGTTGTGTGGATTTAATTGTTCATGTCATGACCCCTTGGGGCTAAGGTGAGGCCACAATATGAGGCCACAATTTTCATGTTAAAAAAAAAAGAAACTGAGGGGAAAGATATTTATAAATTCTCCTTCTGAAGAACAATAGGACTAAGGTGACTCAGGTGAGTTTTGTGACTCATGGGCCTCTTGTTTAAAAAACAGCAGAGCCATAATTAATCATTAATAATTTTAATATGCACATATTTTCATGTAGTGTAAATTCAATTTTCTTCAAATCATGGCCCTTTAGGCAGGAGTTGTTCAGCAATATGACTCCAAATTTTACATCAAGGTAAATAGGAATAGGAAAGATCTTTTATGCCTTCTATCAAGAAAATATGGACCAAAATAAGTCCATTTCCCCTGGAGAAAGGATGGGGCCATAACAGAGTTTTACATATAATATTTAGACTTCAACAAAAAAAAGGCTACAGCTGTAAGATAAGCATCAATCCTAAATATTCAATGAATTATAGTAAGGATCTTCCTGTATTTATTTATTATTCATTTGTTGGAAAAAGGAAGTTAACTTGGATGAGCATAGTGGCCCATGGGCTTCTCGTTGGAAGTCATCAACTTCTGTATAATGCATTTGTTGTGTGGACAAGCATGTGATATCTGATACAGCAGTAAGAGAAGCTCAGATAACACTCAGATTATTTTTTTTTAATTATGTTAGTTGTTCTGCAGTCTTGAATCATTAGCCTGCTTATCACAGCTGAGCCTCAAAGAATTGAAAAAAAATATATTCACAGTGCCATTCCATGTCCTAAAAGTAATTATTGATTCTGAAAGACATTTGTGTTTGTATCAGGAATATACAACTAATGTCACAGCTCTGACATGAAAGTCGACAGATTAAGTTTACCTTTATCCCCTTTTAGGCTTAAGTTCTCATTAAATATTTACCACTGCACTCTCGTTACGTAGTTGTATAGTGAGGTCAGTGTCCTGTGACGCCAGTTTTATGTCACCTTCAACTGCTTCATGACAGACATGTATATTAAAAGGTATCACTGCATGTGTAAACTTTTTTAGTTGTATGTCCATTTTACACCAATGCCAAGTTTTCAAAATTTGTAAAGCTTTAAAATATTCTGTAGAAAGATGATGTTCTGGTAACATCAAAGTCCATGTTCCCAAGTTCTCTACTTTTTGTTAGTGTTAGCCGATCGTCATTCTGTGTTAATATAGGATGACATTAACTGTATGTGAAACTTCAGGAAAGTATCCATTACAAAGAGATGAAACATTTTATGGATTACTAAATATTTCTTGAACTTCCGTGTTTTTACATACAGAAAAATACCTGGCACAAACTCAATGAAAGCCTTCAAAATCAGAGAAGCTGTGAGCTGCCAGTTGCAGTTTTTTTTTATACCTGCTAAACCCAATGTTTCTATCTTTAAAAAAATGTAGACTGGAAGGTATCATACACTTTTTCTGCCAGTGACCTTGAATTTCTTAGGTCATGAGCAATATTTGTGTCATGTATGAGCTTCCCATGTTTCTCCATTACAAGATATGGTCAGGAGAGGAATAAAACATATTTTTCTGAAAGTATAACTTTGAACTTGTTCAGATGACCTTAGGTAAAAGTCATGCCACACCCTCAAGTCATAGGTCATCTTTGTATGTAGTAAGAACTTCCAGTGTTTCTCCAGACATGGTCCAGACATGATTACACAGACAGACCAACAGACAAGGTGATTTCTATATACCCCCATGCTTTGTTTGCAGGGTGTAATCATACTGATAACACTTCTTCAAGAAAATTCTTAAATCTCTTCAAAACAAAGACACCATTTATAAAATTTTTACCTCTCACAAAAATATTGCATTTTCCATCAGTTTAATTTCTGTCTCGTTGTTTGTCAGTCATTCAGCTCATTTGTGAATTTTTCACATTAGGTCATAGGTCACACAATTATCAAAAATGATAAACATATTTTACTGTGTATAAGTTTGTTGTCGATCTCTGATATTTCTCTTTTTTTCCTAGATCTTGATCACCAGGGAACAGATTCAGATACCTCATTTGTTTTTGTTCCTGTATTACAACTCTCCTCTCCAGACAAGCTGCTAGAAGCATGTTCATGAAGTTATATCACAGGACAGAGAGTTGACTTTTTTGTTTTTTAAATTAATAATAACAAGATTACAGTGTACATTTTATATATGTCAAAACTGCCTTTACCCTTTTACCAGATGCATTATATGAAAATGATAGACATTTTAAAATGGAGATATTTTGTTATCATTATTTCTTTGAAAATAAAATTTTGGCAATCTTTTTTTTTTTTAATGTGCTTTCACTCCAGATTCTTCCGCTTTCATTGCAGTCATCATTTATATAAACACAAAGAATAGGTCTTATTTTTAAATTCTTAAATGTGCCAGATTAAGTTAAAGCTGTGTTGGGAAACATGAAACTTTTTTGTTATACCTTTAAAATTGGTTCCTTTATAAATCTATACTCAAAAAAGTCTAACATTTCCAATGTTTTACTAATCTGTCATAAAAAAATTGATGTTTGACCACAGAGTGAGATATTGGACCTGTCGCTGAGATATTAGTTTTTATATAGTGCAGGTAAAGGAAATTTACATCATGGAAGCCAGCACGAGATACTTGTTTGTCAAAAAAAAAATAAAAGGTATAACAAAACATTTATTGGCCATGCTCTCCGGCAAAATGCATTTTGTCGACCCCTCGAACCAAACTGTTTGCCTGAGGCCGTTCTTGGGTACGACAACGCATGTTGCCCTTGAACCCAGTCAATAAATGTATATTATGCCAGTACAAGTCCATGTACACTACATTCAATTCATTCAAAAATAAAATATCTGTAAAGTTTGATGAAGTAAGTTATTCTACTAGCATTTGTAAATACTAAATATGTTTTCTAAATGCAGTTAACTTGTTATGATGAAACAGAAATACAAATTTTGCTCTCTGTGGTGTATTAGGTATATAATTATAATTATCCAATTCAAGGGAGCCGACTGGAGTTTTATTGCATAAAACTACAATGGAAAAACTACTTTTATACCATGTATAGCCTACACAGACTTCAGTGAACATGCAGTTTCAGGAAAATCCACCAGTCAGATAATTTTAGGGACCATCTCAAAATACACTTTATTGTACTATAGGATTGTATGGGGAAATGCATATTTTGCACTTCAAAGCAAATTACAAAAATATAAAATGAACTTGTTGCTCAATTATGTGTGATCAGTAATACATTTTTGTACTAAATTGTACATTTGTAAGAAAGACAAAATTTTACCATGAGGTTTCCAGATTGGGCATCTCAAAATTTAACAAATTTTCCTGTTTTATGGAGTAAAATTATGTATGACAGATACCAAGGATTAATATCTAAAAGAGATTCTCAAACTCCTGTGTTTTGAATTTCAGCATATATTTTATACTTTTTCATTTATAACACTTTTTGTGACATCCTCCTAAAGAAGTCCAGTTTAAAGGAATGTCACCAGCACACCATAAAACATACATCTACCTATCACTTGAAAAATCATATAAAAAATGTTTAAAAATTTTTTTTTTCCCTGTGATTACTAACTTTTGTTAAATTTGATAAATTATGTTCAAATATATTGCTTTAAAAGTAGAAATACACTTTCATTATGCTGTACAAAATTTTGTACACAACATGTAAAAACCCCCATCAGCCTCCATAAAACAAAAATTATTTATATTATAGATGAATATCTGCATCAATCTTAATGTTATAGATGAATATCTGCATCAATATTAATGTTATAGATGAATATCTGCATCAATCCCCCTTTTTTTAAATATATGCCAGCACTGAAACAAACACAATTTGTTTAGATTTTAAGATTTTTCTCTTTATTAAGAAACTGTACATTGTACAATAATAAACAAAACTGCATTGTCCAGCAAATAGAACCTGATTTTCATTGCACCTACAATGACCAAGTCTATGAACACTTAGCAGGCTTCTGCTAAGTTTATCATTGCACGGGGGGGATATAACGGTGATCTTGCCCATACCTTTTACATTTGATTATTGAGTAAAATATTACATCATATAAACAAAAAAGCATTTCACAAAAAAAATGCAATTCTGAAATTTTTTGAACACATAAAATTATTTTTGAAATATACTCTTAACATTGCTTACTGTAGCTCATACAGTTAATTGCTGCATTTCCAGATATTTGTGCAAGGATTTAAATCTAAAGGGAAAAAAAACTAATCACATCTGAGTAAAGTTATAAACATGATTTTTTTTTTAAATTTAAGATTAATTTTAACAAATAATTCTTACGTAAGTTTTTCTCGCAATAAATTCTGTTTTATGCAGCACAACTGAACAAATGAGCTATGTTGGGTTATAAAACATGTATCGCTACACAATTCTCTGAGTAAACATAATGATGACTATTGCACTATTGTTCGCAAGTGCTGGTTTGCATAGACAGCAGTGTTCTGTTGTTAGCTACAGTGAAAACTTTGGCTTGACTATAATATTGTCTTTATACTCCAGCACCTGACTAATGAACACAAGGAAATCAATGGCCACGACAGCAGTTGTCTCCCTTGAGACCTCACCACTCTACCTATCTATTATAGTAACAAAACAAACAGTTATACTGCACTACTGAAACTTTCTGGTATACATATTGTTGAGAGAAGTTTATAACAATTTTTTTGTCCTTTTTGTGTCATGAATTTTTTGTTTTCATTTTTTAGGTGTAAAAATCCAAATCACATTAAAATGAACAATTTACTGTTTCTCTAAAATGTTTTTTTGAATTAAAAATAAAACAAAAATAAAACTGTTGACTAGTAAACCTTGTGAACATTCCAGGCATACATCTGCCTGTGTTTATACATAAACAGTGGAAGATTTGAGCATAATGGAATACAAAAAAAAATCCTCTCAACAGTTGTTAATGCATGATAATTTATGAATGTGTATAAGAAGATGTGTGAAAATGCTAATAACAACAATTAAAATGATCAACCTTATCAGGTATGTTAACATACTAAGTGCCAAAATAGTGAAAAATACAACAAAACTTATCACAAAATGATTAAACCATGATCGGTAACAGTGTATTCTAAATAGACATATAATGTTGTAAATAGAAATAGATCTCTATTAAACTGCCCTCCCCTCTGTATGCCTCTTTCCCAAAACCCATTTTCATACACCTTAAAACAAATCACTTATTGTTACATTTTTCAGTCAATGAGGTTGTCATGAATTCTCTGTGCAATAAAGCATGTGAATTGTTGAAAATGAGATTCTCAACTTAGTTAATTTTTTACATTTCATTTAGGAAAAAATGTATTGTGTCATTTAAGTGGAAAATCTTTTTCAAAAAAAATGTATGTACTATATAAAAAAGTACAGATTTCCTAAGTTTCACAGTAAATACCTGCATTATCTGAATTAATTTTCTTTTTTCAAGTGCCCTAATCATTGATACCTTATCACAACTTAACATACACATACAGATAAAATTCCCATTAAAAAAGAAGTTATAGAAAGGCCTAAACAATAAAGTGAAACATTAACAAATGTCTGACCTCTAACAATTGTAAGCACTAACAAGGGAGTATTACTGAACAAAATATATACATGTATAACAAGTTAACAACTGTACACGCCTATAGCCAGACCACGAGAAATGTTCTGGGGTACCAGTTGACAGTTCCCTGCCCCTACATTCACTTTTTCTTCTACTTTGATTGCCAGGTATGTCTTCACAATAATAAAGTAACATGTTATATAAGAGTTGCAAGGCTAATATCAATATAGGTATTGAGCCCTATTTCTAAGGAACCCTTCATTTGTCATGTTTTGTAGGAAAACAACAATCATGACCTGAAATTGTCATGAACTTGTGTTTTCTTAATTTTTCTTGAGAGTCTGTTTGAGTAAAATATTATTAACTTCAGTAATGATAAGATGATGAGATGTTTTAATAAAAACTAATTAATTGTATAGAACACCATGTGGAAATTTGATTGCACCTTCCTGTAAAAACTTGATGAGCAGCTGGAATCTTTGGTTAACATGAATATTACACAAATCAATGGCACGTTTGAATACAGAAAATAAAATTCATATTAAACCTGAACTGCTGAAATTTCAAATGTTTGTTTTTTCCACTGTTTTACAATAACAGTTTGAACATTTCTTGTAAAATAAATCTAACAAAGCAAATTTTGAAAAAAATGACAAGTTTGTTTCTATATGCAATGAAAAAATGCAGACAATTAATGTGTGAAATACTAAGTAAATACAGGATTGTAATAAAAGCACCACTCTCAACAAAGACAATGAACAAATGAATAACCTAACAAGTGGGCGATATGGTTACTGAAAAAATACAAAGTACAGTCACACATATGGAAGACTTCTGGAATTGTGTAACAAAAAGTGTCCCTGGTCCTCAATGCAAATCTCAAAATGGCAAGAAGTCTACTAGCTGTCTTGGCATCACTTAATGTGTCCACGTTTGGCAGGGGGAGACCGTCTTTTCCTCGGGGTGGATCCTCCAGAGGAGGCACCTGAGTCATTAACACTGCTGGAGGAGCGGGTGGTGCGAATTCCCGCCAAATTTAACAGGGCATCTGCTCCCTCTTCAATTTTCTTCTGCTCTTCCTCATCCTCCTTGGAAACAGTTTTCTTGCCCGGCAGTTTTACAGTCATTCTACGCTGTTTGTTGTGGCTGTGATTCTGTCGGACATCACCGTCTACCTCGTCCATTTCACTGTCCCACTCATCGTAACTCATGTCATCATCTGAGAATTCTTCTTCCATGTCGTATTCATCCTCATCTCCGTATTCAAATCCCTCATCCACGGAGGAGTTAGGAGATCCTGGATCTTTGTGACAGGTGGCACTATACGTGTGATCCTCACTCGGACTGATGGTGAATACTACATCCTCTAAATGGCGACGCTTTAACATTCCATGTCCTAGTTGTCTACAATTTTAAAATATAAATCTTATCTATAGTTCTACTCTATCTTATATATACTTCTACTCTTACTTTGATTTGCTACATATTACTATTCTAAGTTTTTAACAAGCTAATTAGGTAAATTTAAGTATTGTTGCTTGTGCTACAAGAGAAAAATAAATAAAATGATACTTTTGAGTCACACACAAACAAGTGGATTTTAAAGAGAATTAAAACCATGAGCTACCTCTGTTTCCTTTTCATGCGTATTCTCTGAAGCACTGAATTATCATTATCTGAAAGAGAAAAAAGACATGAAAAAAATTATTCAAAATGCTCCGCGTTCAGCTGCTCCATTGTCAACAGGTCAATAAACTATCTCCCCAAGGACATCACTTAATTCTAATGTTCCTCCCTACCAACGTTGTGAATTAGGGTCTACATAATGACACTACACTTCTGAATACATGCTGAAGTAATCAAGGGAAATTCTCATCAATATTCGTAAAAAAAAAAAAAAAGGCAATTTGTTGAAATAATTTTCCATTCCCTTATTTTTACTGTCTACTTCAATTTTATTCTCTGCTTTCTTCTTTTTTTTTTATTTTTCAATAAAGCAGCCAGTGGTTGCCCAATATATCTCCCATTTTGTACATTTGCTAATCCACAAGATCAATAAAGGCAATATCTAAAGAAAGATGAACAAAAAAATTCAATTTCAGGATTCTGGACAGTTAAACAGAAGTGTTGGATCAATAGCTCAGATCCAGAATCTAGGCCCCTATTGATCCACCGAGGGGGACATACGCCACAGTGGAAGATTAAATTATAACGAGTAACAAATCAAGAAAATTATGTCAATTGCTCCCAGCAAAAACTAATCTATAAAAAGGCTGTTGAATATTCTGTGATCAGTAATATTGCTCTAGTCTTAGATATCTTTGTAGAGAATTGCAATAGGTAATCAACTCCCTTGTTCCAAGTACTCATAAAAATTTTGATTCTAAAAATATTTACCCTTTGTGCCAAGTCCTTTCAGGGACACCAGTGTTTGAGCTACATCTTTGATGTCAGAATCTGAAAAAAAAAAATGTTCTTCATTATTCATTATTTGTTACCAAATAAAAGGGTTTGAAATTTCATACCCTTAATATTTGATTAAATATGCATCAATCTCTCATTATTAAGCTTGCTATGCCATTCCAGAATACACTGTCAATTTAACACAATAGATTGCTCCTGGATAACACATATTTGTACAGTCATAAATTAACATTGTTCAGTGATGTTGTAAAACAATTTATTTTTGTTATAAAAAATATATAGGGATAAATCTGTCAAATTTAATTAACCAAAATTGCTAATATTTTCATTTTGATCTGTAAAGTTGAACTGAATTATTCAATTTCATATAATTATACATGAGATGCACCCATCTTGAATAGAAATCGCTGGTTATGAACCAAGTATTGGTGCAACTTACAAAAATTTATTGCTTCTACAGTCTTTTTTCTTAGTGAAGTAACAATTCAATGGATACAAATACTTATCATCTAAAAACTCCATTTTAAATAAATAAATAGCTTCTGGTTTTTTATTTTATTCCATAAATAATTAGCATCTGGTTAATTCTATTCCATCCTTTAAAGATCAAATGAAGACCAATTCAGTATCTGATAATGGATATTTCTATCGCTTTCAATCCTGTAACCTGAGCTGCATCAGCAGTCAGCTACTTTTTTTCCACACAAATGCTTTATTGTACATCTCAAATTAGAGACAAAGAAAACACTCAAGAGATGCTGATCTAAAACAAATCCTTGTGACAGTAACATCTGTGTAATTAATGTTTGTTGGTTGTCATGGAAATGTTTCCACAGATATCTTGCTTGGCTAACACAGACAAGTGGGATGGCTATAGAAATTGATTAATATACAGGAGTAAAGTTACACCCCTGGTCTTGTCTTGTCAGCTTAATGCTACTTCACCATGTGGGACTGTGTGCATAGTGGACCTTCAGTTCTATTGTCATCATCACTCACCTATATCATTGTTATTGGACTGGGCTAATCTTTTACTTAGGAAAGGAAATAAATCTGAAAAAATAAAAATAAAAAAGAACATGAAAATTTGTTTTAAAAAATAGGATGAAATAAAGAGTAAATATATCTCTGGTATTTCTCATACTCTTTGATTAACCAGATGAATGGAGAATAAATTACATGCTTCACTGGATATTCATCCAGAAGATATTTAGTGTGCCCTATTTAATTGTTATAGTCTGTTGCTTATCTCTTATCTAGATGGCCTATAGATAGAGTAATAAACTTACGTGGTGACACTGTGTTTGGCCCGAGTCTAGGAGAGAGGGGTAGAGGTCCGGTGATTCCTGTTATCTGCTTGCCACTGAAATAACGATTTTTAAAAAGGGTCGGTTATAAAACAGATGATACTATTATCTCTTGTGCTATTTCATTCAAATCTGCTTGTCATTTCAACACAAAACCTCTTATAACAATCAATGCTTAGTTGTGTTCAAGCCTCCAGTATCCATGGTAATAGTACACTCTTTATGCATGTTTTTTTATTGTGAATTCTTGATTCCAAAGAGGAATCTACGTGTTCAATGGCAAAAAATGGTAATAAAAAAATTCAAAAAATTGCACCTCACAAGGTAAAGATAGTTCGAACAATATAATATGAATGGGTTTAAAACACTTTGAAGTGGAGATACAAATAAAAGAACAGCAGGTGATAGGTTAAGCCATTGAAGATAGGACAAATTCACCTGTCCAGGTGAGTTAAAGAAGCCACAAGTAAAACAATCTCACTCATTGTATTATTAACACCTTACCAAAACCAGACATGCTGCAAAAATAATTACATTTGTTGAACCTAGGAATTGAAACTTTAAGCTTTGAGGTGAAAATATTAGTCTAACTTGACTTCTAAGTGCAAAAATATTGCTTATTAACTGAAGAGATTGAAATCTCAAGTAGCTACAAGACAGATTCTTCATGAAGTAGCCTATATTGATTTGTAGACACTACATCTACTATTGGAGGTCTTAAATGTGATTAGGGAGGTTAAAGAGGCATTCATCAAAGGTCATAAAAATGGATAATGTTTTCTCAATGATAGCAAGTTAAATGGACTTTATCATGTATTAAAATTGAACAAATTAGTTCATCAATACTAATTAATTTTAAAAACATGATACAAATCAGCTACAGCTATATTCAAATGGATGATACATGTACTGATAATGGTACACCTTACTTCATTATACTGTATTAGATTTCAGAATATTCCCTCTAGATGACATTACACTCAAGTGACCATGGTCACTTTATGCTTCTGATAATTCAAACATGTGCACACAGATAATATTGACAAATCTTACAAACCAAGCTGTTTTACTCAAAGGGATTCATTTTACAAAGGCTGAGGAAGAATTATAGAAATCCAATCTAACAGTCTCTATAGATCAAGAAGTAAACTCTTCTTACATATATACTAAAGTGTGGAGCAGAGGTTTATAATGTTCTCTTAATTAAAGTTTTTGTGAAGACTTGCTTTTATATTAAAGCATTATCAGTAATCAGAGTGACTTGTTTCCTGGAGAGACCATAATATAATCAATACAAAAGGCTGGAACACAGTTATTAGACAGAGGAGAGGGGGTGGGTTATATGTAGGTGGTACTGATATACTTACTTGTACATGTAGGTGTACTGAGGCTGGGGTTGTGGGTTGGCCAGCATCTGTAGCTGGTGGTATGGGTGGTAGGGAGTCTTTCTGAGGGCCTGGAGCAGGTTGGGTCGATAGTCCGGGTCAATGCACCATAGGGATCCTTTACCAATGGACTGTAATTACAAAAGGTGTCCTTCATAAATACATCGATCATTCTTACAGTAATCATCTCATTATATTTGATGCATTAGCTGTAAAGCCCAGTCCCATACAATGGCATTAATGTGAACTGAAAAAGTCATCCTCTTTCTTATAATACATTAAGAACATAATGATCTTGTATCTATTGGATAGTAAGGATGTAAGATTCACACATCTGCCATACAATACAATGACCTTTGACAAGGCTATACATGTTCTTCAATGTCCTTAATGCTTATGGGGTAGACATCAATTTATATTTTCCAAGCAAATTTTCAGGATCTTTCATTACAGTAGGGCTGTGTCAATATATCGAATATTCAATACGTATCGATTTTCAGGAATGTATCGTATCGAAAAAATTACTTCCAATACGTATCAGACAGGCAGTTTTCCTTATAATTCTGTAAAAAGGTTGGGAATTTCATTTACCAAAGATTATCTTTAATTGTTTTGAATTAAAAATGATCAATAATGAAATAAACATTAAGGAGATAGCACATCTTAAATAACTATTACAAAATACATAGACTACTATATTTTAACATGTTATGTTAGACTCACCCAGTTTTTATCAAATTTATGCATTAAATGTCATTTACAAGACATTTGTGAAAGACTTAATAAATAATCCAATATATCGCATATCGCTTTAAAAAATATCGTATCGTATCGTATCGAAATATTTTGCTCAATACACAGCCCTACATTACAGTGATTGGACATTCCTTTTTCTGAATATTTTATGTGATTTTCTACTGGCTTGGAAACCAGGCATTATGTTTAATTAAATACAGAAGTACAAGCATGTTCTTCTGTACGGTCTGGAAACTGTAACATGAGAACAGTGTCACATGTTCACCATAAAACCCAGCAGATGGCATTTTGTTACAATAGGCAGCATAACTTGTTAAACTACTAATAGTAGCAAACAGCTAGATATCTTATCATATTACAATTTTACCAAATAAAATGATTAATTAATTACAATGTGCATTATACAGCAGTTTCTAGTAAGTTTTTTTTAAATCTATTATTTTTTTCAACTTTTTTTTTTAGGGGTTGGGGGTCTTTATTGGGGTTATATTTTTTTCACATTATGTATGCATGCTATTCTATATTTTTCCTTATCTGTAATTGTTACAACATGTCTCAAATTTGCTTTGTTCTTCCAGAGAGTGTTAGAACTTGTTTAATCTTGGCCTGTCATCAATTCAGTGGGGTCCGATAATCAGCTGTGTTGTTGGAGTGGAGGGTGACCTTTGAAGTGTGCCCAGAATACAACATCCAGTCTACCCTTATGTCCGTGGACCCCCATTATCTCTGTATCCACCTTCCCTCAGTTCTACATATACACTATCCAGATTACAGCATTCCCACCACTCAAGATACTTATCAAGTGCTAAATACCAACAAAACATGGGTCTCTTCTAGACTTCACAGGACTTTATACCTGTTGGTGTTTATTAGTGCAGGAATGTACCAGTCTTAATGCCGGGGTCACCTGGAGGCTCTTTAGATACTTGTCCTTACTTTTAATTTAATCTTTATTTTTCTTTCTTTCTTTTTTTTGGGGGGGGTACCTCGAGAGGAATTTGATTATTGGTTGAAATATATGACGTGCAGGCAGAAGTTGTGGCATACTGAACACTGATTAAACCAAATAAAAAGAAATAATTTATATAAATCATGCAAAATCTGCACCAAAATTTTCCGATAATTGCATTAATTGACTTTGTAATAATCAATGTCTTGCGTCTTGCAAGCAAAGTTAAGGATTTTTTAATCTTTCTTTTTTTTTTATCAAGGAAACAGGTTGTTATGTTGATAAGATAGTGACCATCAATGACTATGGGAAAATATCAGCATATCTATAGTGTTTTATTTAGTTGTAGAACCAATCATTTCCTCTTCCAATGCCTATGTTAATGCCATGTATCATAATTTTACTACTCCTCTGTGATATCATCAACATATTGAAGAACAAGCAATAAGAAATGAATATCTGCAGATTTAAAGGGGGACAACTCTTAGCATTTGGAATGGCTTTGAACATGTTGAATAAATGGAATGATCAATCAATCAATCATAATTACTGTTTTATATTTTTAAAATTAATCTGATTTTATAATTGGGACCTTGACACTATATTTTTCATGGAATTGAAAAATTTTTAATGTTTTATTTCCACATATAACTATTTAATATATTAATGTACTTGTTTTATTTATAAAATGCTGATTTCCAATACAGTCTACTGCAGGGTTCTCCATCATTTGAAATTTTACTGTGTTGCAGACTTTATGCGAAGCGCTAATATTCGCGGTATATTCGCAATGAAATTCGCAACTGAACCACTATTCATTATAATTACACAAGCATACACTGTACATGCACACACAACTTTTTGACTTGCTAATTCGTTACACAAATGTTATGATCGTACGTATTGATTTAAAAAAAATAAATTAATGGATATAGAAAAGGATTAGAATGTCTCCAAGTATATATAATAATACAATGTCTATATACTATTACAAAATCCAACTAACCCCCCCCCCCCCCACGACCACCACCACCACCACAACACACAACTTAAAAAAATAAATACGATTTTAAGAAAAATACTTATATAATATACTTGTATCAGTATTTACAAGTTGTAAGTATTAAACCTTGATATTTTTGTATATAACTTTATATTGTACACATGCACTGAAGAGCAGATGAAATTCTGGTTGATACAATCGAACTACTTACCATCTTAAAAAGTTTTTTTTTAAACGAATTACCAGTAAGTTTTAGAAGCTTTAGAACAGCAAAATACTTTGAGGAGATGCCTTTAAATTCTTCAACAATACATAAATTAAATGATTATTACGTATGATGTTTGACTCACAGAGCCATCATAATTTTAGAGACGTGATTCTGAAGTAAACACATATATATACATGTAATTAATTTTTATAGATTTAAATTATATTAAAAAATGCAACTACCAATTATACGGTTACACGAAAGTGTGAAATTGATTGATCGTGTTTGTTCCTTCATGCATAAAGTCCAGCGAGGGTCTAGGACGAAATTGATAATGCAAGGTGAAGCAATATAATGAGCCCTAATTAAGAGATAATTAAATGCTCTGCGTTAAAATTGAAAGACGGTATATTTGTTTGATTAAAGTTTCAGTTATAGAAAATTTAAGTTCTGATTTTCTGATTATCACGGATCTTAGTGTGTCGCAAAATTTTTACTGTGTCGCACGCATAAAATTTGAGTCGTTACTGTGTCGGGGAAATTTTTATTGTGTCGGGGCCGACACAGTAAAACAGCTCATGGTGAACCCTGCTACAGTAATATATCCAATACAGTCTACTGTAATATTTAAAAAAAAAAAAAATAGAAAGTGTCTTCCTTCAAAGTTGTATGTGCATAATAATTATAGATACATGTATATATTTTTTGTTACAGAAGATTTAAATGTTCATATCAGAAATGAAGCTGAAAAAAAAAGAATTCTAAAATATCCTCTGAATTTCATATTAAAAAGTCTTAACACGCTACTTAAATTATCAGACCTCTTAAAAAAGTTTTATAAATACATCCTCCATTATTAATTATAATGAATATACTGACCAATCCTAATGAGAAGTAAAAAATAAATGCAGCCTACCTGGCCTCTATCCTTGTCCACCTTCTTGAAGCACTTGTTGAGGGACAAATTATGTCGCACTGAATTCTTCCAACCTGTGGGGGCATGCTGGAAGTATGGAAAATGGTTCAGGATCCAAGAGTAGATGTCTTTTACTGGCAGTTTTTTCTGCGGTGAGTCTTCGATGGCCATAAAGATGAGGCAGGAGAAAGAGTAAGGAGGCTTGCTGTTGATGTGTTTCTGGGGATTGTATGGGACGTGAGGAGGGTGAGACTGGTTTATGTGGTTCCCACTCAGCAAGTCACCATTTTCTTTTTGGTCATCATCACTGTCTTCATCAGCACAGGCGATGTTCTTCAGCAAGTTGCTGTCCTGTAGCCAAGATAAGGGTTTAAGGTCATCATCACTGTCTATGGGTCCTTTTTCCAAACGAAGCTCGGCAAAACAGCTACTGCTTAGGAAGTCCCCTTTCATGTCATCATCTTCGCTGTCTGATTCTGGCTGCATGCACTGCAGGGCCTTGGACAAGGCACTACCAGGAAAACTTTGACTCAAACTCGTCACTAGCCTCTCTCGCATGGAAGCATCACTCTCATCAAGTCTGCTTCCAGGAACCATGATTCCGTCTTTATTATTGCATCAGTTGTTTGCTGAAATACAAAAAGGGTGCAATTATGAGTTTTGAAAGATACTTGGTGAATCATCTCTAGGAGAAGACCTGCAACCTAATGCTCTGAAAAAAAAAACATGGAGGATAAACAATTGGAATTACCATGGTGATCTTTGTGTGACAGCGGGCTTACAAGTACTTGGAAAAAATTAGTGGGAAGATAATACAAAGCAATTTACATTGTGTGAGGCTAATGGTTATCTTACAAAAATAATTAATCATTTTAGACTTGATTTATTTGGGTTTTTCTGTTGTAAAAGATATATTTTAGTTAATGCTTCTTACTGTTAAAATAAATTTGAAATTAAATTTTCTTTTCTTGCAGTATAATTTGTAAATATAGCTCAAGTTTAAGCTCATTTTTCACAATAATTGCAGATTACCTCACTGAATTTTAAATTAACATCCGTAAAATTTTATTTTTGACTAGATAATAATTTATTTATCATGACTTCATCTGCCTTCTGCGAGCAGTAATTTTATTCAAATGACAGTGCACTTGTTTAGAAGTTACCATGGAAACTCCCTACAGAAGTCATCACAGGTATTACAATTTTTGAAATTATAATTGACTTCAATGACCATTCTCTTACTTTAATTTGTGAATGCCCAACTTCCGCAATCATTCTGACATAAAATTGATCCATTGAAAAGCATGGCAAGCACTTTTATTCACCTTGAAAAAAAATCCATTAAAGACAATGGAAGGTTTTAATATGACAGCATCTGTGAATCACATGGGTGGTTGCCTTGGCAGGATGTAAACAGTTTGTAACCTCACTTTTCATTGGCTGAATTTGACTGATGCTGCTGCTGATGAGATTACCTGTATTTTCACCTGAAGACATTCACCTAACCAGCAGGTAAGTGATTCCAACATGTTAAACCAAATTGCTTTTATACTGCTGCATGATTTTGTTTAAAACTATTTTCATGTCACATTTAATGAAACAAACAAAGAAAATTTTCATTTGATTGTACTTTTGTTGTAACTGTTCACAAAATTTGACACATTAGCATTGTTTTGATTCCTGCTGTGGATGCTAGGACTGTCAGCCATTATTGACTTTCACACAACCAAAGAATTCACAGTGGGATGTAGGAAGTGTTATATCATTATAAAACCATTGATTTACATACTTTGTTAATTAGTTTGAACATCTCAATTATTTCACTTTCTCTTATTTTTTTTCAGTAAATTATTATAATACTTTCTATATGACTTGAACTTTCCAACATTTAGTTGGTATTAGCTATGTTTATGTAATGGTTGTGTAATGGTCCTTTTCCTGCACTTAAGAAGCTTTTGCTACTCTGTGCAATAAATGTCTTGTTGATCTTTAAATCACTAACTTTCAGATAGGGAGTCCTTGATCATCTCAATACCAATACAGATCAAAGACAGCTATTGGTATGTATATTTAGATTTAAATGGCCATTTAAATGTCTAAACATCAATACATACGCACATGGTTTTCAGCCAGATGTGCTTTTCTCATGTTTTCATCAACAGAAAAAGTTAATTAACAATAACAAATATTAATAATTATTGCCTTGTAATCTTCATACTCAGAAAATCACTCCCACACTAAACACACATCCTCCATATTGTTATTTTGTCACATGTTTACTTCACACTGCCCCACATTTCCCTGTCGTAAGGAACATAATAGGTTCATATACCAATGAATTTGCCTACCTGATCTTTTTTTAATCCTATTCTAATTACTTCCAATCATTTCAGATGAAGAAAGAAGTTTTGACAACTTTTTGCAGTTTTCTGAGAAAGTTTTACAACAAAAATGGCTGTCTCCAAGTTACCAACTCATCACCTAGAGAACTGTATGCTGGGATAGCTCATCACTTAGATCACAAATTTGATTGGCTGAATGCTCCCAAACCAGTCAAGTGATACAAACTATTTTTATGCACAGCGACCTCATATTTAACAGGCATCATTGCCATAGCAACCTATTACAGTTGTCTTGGCAACATACATGCCTCAGAATATTCTAATTAGAAGCCCCTTAGCCAGAAGTTTTTGCACTGGTTTTGCACAGATTATTGTATGATAGGTGTACTTCATAGCCTGGGGCACCAAGTTTCTTTATAATATATTCCCACAAACTAATTATTCTCTCATTACATAATACCCCTGGGCAGTCAAGAAGACACAGCAGGGAAGTGTTTAAGGTTTTCACACCTGTCATAAATCTGAAGGGAAGTTTATTAAGAAGACAATCACTTCCATGAAAATGAAACAGAAACAAAAATTGTTAAGAAAATATCGGGAATAAAAATTTAAATACCACCAAAAAAATCTAAACACACCTGTACTGAGCTTACCTATTTTTAGAGAAAAATTGGTTTCATCCATTAATAATACAGAAAATGTTTAAATCCACGGCAAAGTCTGACTATCCCCTCTGTTCTCTAAATTGACACCTGCATGGTTGACATACTTATCAGCAAGGAGAGAGAGATACCTAAATAACTGGGAGGATTCTCTGCCTGATAATGTCACATACATATATATACTGCATATTGATAACAACTTCACAAACTCCCCACTGCCTGCCTGACACAGAAACATACACTTAACAGTGTTATTTAGCTGTGAGTGAACACATCCTGGAAACTAACTCTTTATTTCCTCAACAACCTTAATCTCCTTCCTGTTCATTGAAATCATGTCTTATTGTATACTATGTAGTTTATCTGATAACAGTCATAGATGTAAATATTTTTTATGAAATTTGTTTTGTTTTTTTCTTTTTGCTTTTGAAAGATATTAAACTGTCACTTTATCAGACTTATTAGAGTTGTCTGTCTTATCAGCTTAGAAAATAAAAAATGCCACTCCTGCATCTACTGCTCTTTGGAATAATGAACTCACAAATTGGTATATATATGTGTGTGTGTGATGGCTAGATATTGAGCAGTCAGCCCTGAGCTCTGTAATTGGTGGTGTGCATGAAGAGAAAAGGCCCATAGGAGTTGGACACTTGTTTGTGCCGACTCTGTCAAAGGCAGACTCCTGATCAATACAACAAAACAGGGTCATAACCAATCACATGCCAGCTGCCATGGAAACCATACACATTTCTTTACTTCTGCTTTGTAACAGATGTAAGACCTCTTAAAAGTTTCTATGGTAACCTTATCAACAGCTGGGGGGAGATGAAATGCACATTTTTTGTAAGACATTTAAATAAAGGGTTGCTATAATCACTTAAAGATTTGTTTTCACAAAGCAATTTTTCTCAAACCTTTGCAAATTCATATTCATTTTTGCATGTCATCAAATTTATTATTATAGAGACTAAATTGGGAAGGAATTTTATACCAAAACTTGCTGATTTCGGTGTACAAAATGCAAATACTATTAATTTGAAATGAATAAAAAATATGTAAAATTCAAATTCTTACCTATTTAAATTTGGTAAATGGAATAATAGCTGCTGATTTCTCTCTATTTTCTTATTTATAAGTGTCTAAAAACCCTTTACATAGGGAAAAAAAATCCATTTTGACCAAAATGACCATCTTAACAATTTATTTTTTGATGTATAGAATGTGTGCAATTTTCTTCTTGATTAATTTGGTTTGCATTGCAAATTTTCAACTTTAACTGGAAGTTCATTATATTTAATAGACTGACTCCCCCCTTTTCCTACCTCAAAAATCTGAAGAATGTGACAGATTTGAGCAGATTTAAATCAGTCATATTGTGCTACAACAGCCATAATGAAATTAATTGAGCCTATATTTATCAAAAAATATGATCAGTGAAAAGTATACTCATCTACTATTTTCAATTCAGTTTTAAACTAACACCCACTTTTCAAATCTTGATTTAAGATGTTAAAATCAAAGCAATATTTGCTGTACAGGTCCTGGAAATAGATTGTCAGATTAAAACGTGATTTTAAATGATGAAGATCAAGATTTTAAAAATTTTCTCAAATTCAGATGCAAGATCTTTTTATTCCATTTTTCATATAACTAACCCATTGTACAACTGCCCTTAATTCTAAAGTATGCTGAATATGGTCAAATTTGATGATTTTTTTACTTTATTAAAGAAACAATGTATGAAATCACTATTTTCCAAATTCACTATGTTCAAGTTCAATTCTTCTCAATTCCAAATGTGCATTTATAAGTTTAAACACTACATGTACCTTTTAAGTACCACTTTTCAATATCAAGGAAATGTTTTAATTTTTAAATCATAATTTGACAAGAATCAAGTCTACTGTTACTGTACAGTTACAACTGTTATGCTGGTGAAGATTATTAAAAGATCAAATTTTTTATTTTAATTTCCTGGAATTCAATTATAAATATATTTATTGTAAATGAACCTCATATCAAAATGTATAAGCCTCTTATTTTGGATGCAAAATATATTTCAGGTTTAATATATATACATACCTGTGTGTGGACAGTGGCTTCCCTAAGATATTAATCTTATCCTACACATTAAAGCTATATGTATTAGTATTGAGAAAATGCTAATGGAGTTCCTCTTAATTAATTAAACAAACAGCTACTCTCATAATCCTACTTCATTCAACAGATAATTCAAAGTATTTATTGAGATCAAAGCTTATTAACTAATTTAAAGGTTTTTAATTAATCAGTATAGCTCACGTCTTTAGAGTACTCCAATAACTGTTTTATCACCTGTGTTTTACTATCAAAACATGAAAAGGAGACTCAATTACAACAAATTATGCAATCTGTTTTTATATGCCTGTCATAAAGCTTACCACGAGAAAAGGCAAATGCTACATATTTATTTAGCTTCTGCGTTACAAATATTTTAAATAAATCGGGCTTGTAATTTTGTACGAAAATAAAGAAGATACATTCACCATGTTTTAGGCATTTGTGTACGATGTAATACCATTAATTCCTACATTTCTATTTTTTCTTTTAGAAACTATATGTTTTTTTTTAATATTATTATTTTCTATACTAAGTTGCCTTTCGTTGTATTATAAAAACCCACAAGACATCTGTCGACATCATAAACATGTGCTTAGTTAAAACTTTTAAAAATGGTGGTCTTGTGCGTTCTACGTTTCAGTAGAAATTCAGTACAAAAAGGTCGCAAGAGTATGCCAAAGGTTATTTTTCGAACCCAGTGATAAAAGAAGAACATATATACACTAAACTAAGTTTCAGAATGCGACATATATCTTTAAAATTCTCACAAAGATATCGTTCTTTTTCGCGGGAAATGAAATGTAAACATGACGGCGTGGCCAGAAATCCCGTGTGTTTCAAACACAATATTTTCAACAATAGAAAACTGGTTTTACAAGAAAAAAGGATTGTTTAAGTGAAAATAATGCATATCTTTCAATTTTTGCTACTGGTTACATTTGTTAAGTTAAATAAAAGATAAAAAATTCTTACTTTGTGTTACAAAGTGGGTCAGTCAGCGAGTCAAACCGGAAGAATATGTGACCACGTGATAACGCTACGAGATGGTTACCGCGTCATGTGGTCTATGGTAGATCTAATGACTCCGGAGTATGTTATAGACAATAAAAAATAGAAAACGGTTCCCAACATTTTGGGACGAATTAAATAATTCTGTCAACATGTGGTAGATCTAGGACTTCCATCTGAACGAGGTAGACCCTTTTAAAGGTTAACTTATTGAAAAGGGACGATCTTAATGGTTTTTCAAGACTTCTCATTTTAAGGTTCATCATCTCTCTGATCACTTATATATTATATCCTTTGATCATGATTTTCCAAAAGAAATCAAATTTATGATAAAATGAACATAATTTCAGCAAACGTTGTGGGACAAAATTTAACAGGAATGACCTATTATCTTGATAATTTTATAAAGGAATAATAGTCGTTTAATCATGCCAGTTGGAGTTATCTTTCTTAACAGAGTAACGATGAACCTTAAGGGGACAGGTCAATGCTGACAACTTGGATTGGCTCTAAATATTGGCTTGTGTTTTTCAAAGTGATCTTCCACTGGATCTCCGGCTTTATAATATTACATCAGAAAGTACTCGACTGCGTTCAAGGTTTACGATCCCGGGCAAATTTGGAAACGACGTATGTTTACCAGAAGGATATGTAAAGTATGGATACAAAGTGTTAGCATTTGCAGCATATTTTAAAGTCAGAATTATGAATGCAATTTTATTTAATTTGGTCAAATATGTGCCAGTGGTAACATTTAGTATAGGGATAGTAAAATAATGGTACCTTCGGTAGTAAAATGGACAATAATCTATAATACATATGTTTGATCATGTCTAGTCCTAAATATCTGACGTTTTCAAGGCTTTTTTCCACGATTTTGATATTTTACGTGACAGGAAAACGTCAGAACCAGCGCCACTACGAAAACTGGAAATTCGCTGTAAGCCTCCACGCAATTGTAAGCAGCGACATTCTTGGGTTGATTTTCGATACTTGCGAACCGAATTGAATGCTGGATTCACAACTTATCAATTGTACAATGCCTTTAGTACTCACCAACATCGTTTTTATGGTTTGTTTATGAAATATACAGTTTCAGGCGCGGATCCAGGAATTTAAGCTAGAGGGGGCGCAAAAAGTAGACAGGGGGGTCTGGGGGCCGCCTTGAGGCTCCCAGTGGGTCCAGGGCCTGACGTTTTCCTGGCACGTAAAATATCAATATCATGAAAAAAGCCTGGAAAACGTCAGAAACTTCGGACTAGGTCCTGTCATGTGGTCAAAGACAGATTCTGAACTTTTACCCAAAGAAGAAATTAATGAGGTATATAGACAGATATAAAAAAAATTATAAGAGAGATTATGTAGTTAATTGGTGCATCATCCTCGCAACGCCAGGGTTCCTGAATCAATTCGTTGCCGTT